TGCTGCACAAATGCTAGGTAGCTATTAATGGATAGAGTCAAACAGCATCAAAAAGCAGTTTTGAAAAGAATACAAGTAATTAGTACTAAAGAACAGAAAAATTAAAAAGTGGAATAGACTAACATAAGCAAAATTCAGAAGTAAGCACCCAGTGTTAGCTAAACTAAAGAGCATAAACCAGCAGCAAAAGTACTGAATAGAGGATTAGACAAAACTGCTGGGAAAACTAGAAAGTATTTGACTGTACATTACAATAAATTCCAAATGAAGTTAGCTAAAAATAAGAAGTAGCATTATGCAAATGTTAAGATAATCAGCAGTAATTAGATTTTACCATGAGACAGAAGTGACCCAAAAAAAAGACAAAACAAATAACAGTGACTTAATTAAACAACCTTTGCCCCCCCCCCAAAAAATAAAAAAAAACCAATGCAAGGAGAATATGAAAAAACTATTTATGGAGAAAATGATTTTTGGATTAATTATCTCATCTAAAAGTCAGATATTTTAAGATACACAGAGAACTGAGAAAAATAAAGTCTAAGATTCATTCCCTAGTGAATAAACTGTGAAAGTATATAAGCAATTTTCAAAAGAAAAATTGAAAATCATTTTTAAAAGTTGTCCAAAATTATTAATAATTAGAAATCTAAACAACTCTTGAGTTCTGACCTCATACATATTAAATTGGCAAAGAGAAGTTGATGAGAAATATTAGTGTTGAAGGAGAGTGTAAAAACACTATTGTACCAATGGTGTCACTGTGAACTATTTAGAATTATGCAAGAAGTTATTAACATTATCATACTCTTTGACATAACATTTGGAGTAAAAAACTGGAAACGAATAGGTACCCACTGATAGGGGTATGTGAATGTAACGGAAAATTAGTGTGCTATTACAAACATATAGTTGTAAAAGAAAATTTTTATGGGAGAAGGGGCAGGAGGAGATGGACTTGAGCTGAATAAAGAAATCAAGTATAAATCAACTATAAAAGTGATCTGGAAGACTTTGGAATTGTGAGGGCCAGAGACTGAATTTGAGGAGGAGAAATTTTAGAACACTTGAAAAGTTAAAGGACAAGAAGTGTTGGAGGTGGAGAAAAAAGTGTTAGAGAGTTAAAAAAAAAAGATGTCCTAGAGGTAAGTAAGAACTTGATCTAAAGGAGAAGCAAGGTGATGGAGAAGAATCTTAGTAGAAGGAACTGGGAAAGGAAAGAATTTTGGACAGAGGATGAAAACCCAAGGTGAAGGAGAAACAGCAGCAATGCCTTAAGATGAATAAAGAAAAGGAAGAGAAGTGGAAAAAGAAAAAAGACTCAATGAAAAAGTAGCTGATAAGATGAGGCAAGTAAAATAAACTGCCTAGACAAGTAAGAGGTTAGAGAGGGGAAAACGATGTACGTGGCATTTATGAGAAACCAAAGAGATTATCAAGTATTAACGAAATGATGTAGTAACAAATCTGGAGTTATGTTCACCCAAAAGCAGTTTGCAATTGTGATTTTATAGAAGAGTTACTAGCAAGAAAGACAAAACTTAGTAAGAACCTTACTTCTAGCAAGTATGGCAAGAAGGGAATATTTTGCAGTTGCCTACACTGATTATGCAGTGTTTACATTTCTTTTGACAACCAAGTGACTGCTAAGAGCTGACTGGTTCCTGATCATTAAAAAAAAAAAAAAAGAATGGAGAAAGAACATTCAACTTTCTAGGTTACCAGGGACAAAATCTTCACTTGAAAACTGGAAGAACTTCAGTGTAAAAACTGAGAAGGGAAAAGGGAAAGAAGAAGTAAAAGGAAATCTTGACCTATGTCAGGAGGCTGGAATGACATCACAAAAAAAGAGCTAAAACAAGGCAGATTTTAGTTATAAAACTAATTTGGGGGCGCTCTTAAAGAAAAGGGAGCTAGATGCTCAAAGTTCGCTATTGTCCTCAAAGGAACGATTATTATATAATTCTAAATACTTTGTCAGGTGAGATTACTTAATAGCTAGAAACCAGCAGTAGTGATGATTCCTGCTGAGGTGATATTTAGGTACCTACTTAATGACCTGATAACAAAAAATGTATGTGGTCTTCCCAAAATATGCATTCACATAATCTACAAAGATGTGTCAAAATAAATATTGTCCTCTTTACATGATTCATCTGGGTATAAGTGATAATGCCAGAAGAAATATAAACATTGTTCAAGATTATAAAGCTCTGGGCAAGACTTGAGACAAAAGGTCACTGTTGCTAAAGAGAACAAAGGAATAGGAGAAAAAAAACACTTTTATTATGTGAAAAATTGGTTAAGAAGCAAGTATCTGTGAATGGGATTTAAATCTCTGGATCATGTCTTAAAATAAAGGAACAAGCTCTTGGACAGGCATGAGACATAAACCCAGAGGGGTGATGGTGGCAGCTTTTATCAGCTTGAGAGCTGACTGTTAAAGTTTTCAGTGTGAGGATTTATACCTCAGAAATCCACAAATGCTAGAAATCAGGGCTTGATCTGTTATCTTGTTATTTGTCTAGACATAACAAAGTGATGAAGAAAATGTTAATGATGACTATTGAACTTAAAGGTGTGTTGTACACACATATTTTCCTCCTGAAGAGCCAGTTCTTAAACATTTACCACCACACTCTTGGACATCCCTAACTAGGGCTAGTAAGAAATTAACTGCCCAAATTCTTGTACACCAAATCAAAAGAATTATAAAATAAAAAGGGAAAAATCCTACCTAAGGATCAAGCTAGACAGCTACAATGTAAGAATGCTAACTGATGTACCCAGAAGATCAAATGGTAAAATCTAAGAAAAGAATCAGCAATAAAATCAATGGCCTCAGATGTCCTTACATATTTGCACAAAGGATGGGCAAAAAACAACATGAACCAGAGACCCTAGGACAGTGAGGAAAATATGACCTCATGGCTCAAATAGCTGATACACAGGGGATGACACCCCTGACTGGAATATGGCTCTGGAAGAATATACCTTATTCAAAAGAAACAGTGGGGTGGGATAACATAAGAAAATATAATCAGGCCAAAGTTCCAGCATGAAACAGTAGGGAAGGAGCCCAGCAAGCACCAATTATGAACTTGGCCCCCAGCATCTTAGCCAATCACTGTCCCCATAAGCCATGAAAAACAGGCTATGAAGTGAGGGATGCTGATTACACATCAGAAGCAAGGCTATTTCTGCATAAAAGTAGAAGAGCAAGTCAACCAAGTTGCAATGCTGTTTACCACACAAATCTCACAGATGCTGGTGCCTGTGTTGGTATTAGTGGATGTTGTGTGATACAAGATTTTATGGGTCGGGATGTAGCTCACTCCCTTACCTACAAACATCTGAGGAATCTCTCTGGTAATTGTGATCCACACACTAGCCAACAGTCCAAGAGCTCTTCAGAATTTGTGCGTTGTGTCAAGGATTGTCGTTTTCCTTTCCTGGTATAGTTACAGACTTACAAAACAATCTAAATAATGAAGAATGGATATGACAGACCCTCTTATCTCTCTAATCAAGTCCCAAATTGAGCCCTCTTTGATTAACAGCTTCAAACATGGGGTGAAATGAGCAAGACGAAATTTAGTAGGGATAAATGTAAAAATTACAAGTGAGTCATACCAAGCTTCTTAATGACAAGGTTTTTTGTTTTCTCGCCTTTCTTTGTATCCTCGATGCTTAGTACAGTGCACGGCACCTAGTAGGCACTTAATAAATGTTTACTTGTTGACCTGATCTGACTAAAAAATAAATTTCACAAGCATAAGACAGAGGAGAAATAGTAGTTTGTTTGAAAAAAAGGGGGGGGGGCAGTGTTTAGTGGACTGCTAGTTCAATATGAATCAAATTGTGGTATGTGGCCAAGAAAGTGAATGTGACCTTAGGTTACAATGACAGAGTCATAACTCCAAGAACAGTTTTGTTGTATTCCACCTTTGTTAGACCCTGTCTATTCATTTCTAAGCGACACATTTCATGAAGTACAAAGATAATCTGGAAAGCATCCAGAGGAAGGCAACCATGATGATGAAAGGCTTCAAGGCGAATTCTGAAGGAACTGGGCATACTTAACTAGGGGAAGAAAAAATTTAGGGGACACATGAGACCTGCTTTCAAGCATCTGAAGGGGTATCACCTGGAACAGAGAATAGACATGTTCTCCTAGCCTTTACGAGTAATACAGAAATGGGTAGAAGTTTCAAAAAAGCAAATTTAGGCCAAATTAGAGCTATTAAAAAAAATGAAATGGGTTGCCTTCAGCAAGTAATGTTTTCCTCCTCATTGGAGGTCTTCAACCTGGGGAGACTTGTATGAAATAAAAAAAAGCATACAGAAAGCAAAGTAGAAGAAAACTACATACGATTACAATGATATAAATGAACACAACACCAAAACCCAGCATAATTCAACTTAAATGCAACGACCAATACTGATTTCAGAAGGCAAATGATTAGATTTGGGGGGGGAAAAAGACAACCTCCTCCCTTTTTACTAGATATTGCTTATGTTGTTTAATAGGAGTCATTGTGTTGGTTAGTTTTATTTAAAGATTTATCTTTCCTACATAGAAGAGATCAATAGGGGGAAAGTTTATTTGGTGAAATAATTCTGGCATGAAAGATAGAAGGCATCAATAAAAGCAATGAAAGGAAAAATGTGTTATACACAAAAGGAGAGATATACACACTCTATCTATGGATACACCCTATGAATGACATTTGCATATTATGAGCAAACCTCACCATAATGTTACAAAATACAATTGCCCTGCCAGGATTAGAGGTAGAACAGTTTCTTTTGAAGCTAACTGCCACATATTATGTGGTTCTGCAAAACTCTGTATTTTTCACAATCAATTAATACTTTTCAATAGGCCAAAAATGCATCTGTATGTGGGCTCCTAGAAAATACATTTTTAGTTTTACTCAGATTGTCCTTTGGAAATTCATGACACAGTAAGTTTATGGGAAAAAATTACAACCTATTACCTGAGAGTCTTGCCGTTTCTTAATTGCATGCTTATACAATTTGTGTAGTTTTCTTGCATCAAATTCTGTGAACTTGGACACAAAAATCCACAAATTCCTAGGAGAAAAAAAAGATTCTTTATCTTTACGTAGAATAATTTAAGAAAAAAATTCATGTTTCTTGTTCTCTTCACCTCATTCAATGGAAGATAGACTCCCTCAAACTGCAGACACGGTATCTGAGAAGACACATACACAACAGGCTTCCAAAAAGAACTCCTACATCTTACATCATTTACAATGGAAAGTAGTGATGACATTTGAACTTTTAAATCTCAAAGGACATCTTCTTAACCTATGTAAGGCGTGTCAGTCTGCTTTCAGCTACTTTTCAGATTTATCTCACACTACTGTTTTTCAACACACCGTTGCATTCCAGCCAAATTGACCCACTCACTACTCCCCAAAGTTAGTATTCTGTCATCAAACTTTTGCATAGGCTGTGTTGTATGCCTACTGATCAAAAGAAGTAAACAAGCAAACTGTACAGTAAACAAAAAACCACATACTATGTGCCAGGCCCTGTGCTAAGTGCTTTACAAATATTATCTCATTTGAATCTCATATCAATGCTGGAAAGTAGGTTCTATTATTATCTCCATTTCTTAGTTGAGGAAACCAAAGCCAACAAAGATTAAATGACTTGCCCAGGGTCATATGGCTAGAAAGTATCTGAAGTTGGATTTGAATTCAAAGGTTCTATACACACAAAAAAAATTTGTTAAAGCATTTTTTATAGTAGCAAAAAACTAAAAATTAAGTGTTCATTAAATGGGGAAGGGCTAAAATTCAGTGTAACTTGGGAAGACTTGTATGACTTGATAAAAAGCAAAGTAAAAAAGTAGAGAACAATTTACATAAGAAACCAAGTAATATAAAGGAATTAAGTCTGAAAAAGATCAAAACTCGCATCAATCCAGTAAGCAATCATGACTGCAGAGGAATGATAGTGAAACATACTCCTTCCCCTCTCTTAAAAGGATGCTGGACTAGAGATGTGAAATGAAGCATAAAATATTCAGATATGGTCAATGAGTCAGTTTGTTTTCTTAATTAAACTTCTTTGCTCCAAGGTAAGTTTCTATATTTCTTTTGCTCCAAGGAGGAATTAAAAAAGAGATGAATTAATATTTAGCAGAATCACCTCCAATGTAATTTCAAAGATGGATTTTTGTTGATTTTGTGGATTAAAAATGCAATTGACATGACAACAGTTATTTGTCACTTGCTTTTTCAAAGGTACATCTGCCACCTAGTGGTTTAATGCAAAAACATAGAATGATATACAATAATGCCACACTACAATATCAATATAAAGAGAAATATGGCTTTGAAATTAATTTAAGTTACTTTTAAAGCAATTTACACAGCTTAACAAAGTTACAAAAACTTCACAAAGCTGAAGGGGATAAACTGAAACACACAACAATATGCAAATGGATAATTACCTAATTATAGCTTAAGACTGAAAAATATCACTTACTTTCTCCACTGCTTAATTTGTTCAGGATTTGTATATTCTTTTAGACATTCAGTGATATGATCACCAATTTTGATTAGACACTGTCTAGTATGTTCCAGCTGTTCTCTTTCTGAAAGCCCCTTTTCAGGTCTATCAAGCTGTTTCAGGGCTGCTTTGACAGGCCTCATTCTTTCTTTGCACTATAAAATGGGGAGGGGAAAAAAAAGGATAATATGTGTTAAAAAGGTGAATTCTAAAATATCATTCATCTTTTAAATTATATTTATAATTGATAAATATAGCATTATTCCAAACCAGATTAAACAATAAAACTCACTTCACGGTTCTTAAAAGTCTGTTTTACTCCAGGTTTTCTTTGTAAAAGTAATAACTTATACATAGTCTGAAATCACTATATTTAAATATAGTAAAAGTACTGAATTATACTTGACACAATTTTAAAAAAATTTACACTAGTGGATACAACTTTAAAGTCTCTTAGATATATACTATAAGGAGACAATTTTTTTTACAATATAATGATCTTCAGTTTTCTATAATAATTAAGGTATATATCCTTTCAAAGAAATGAAAATCAATGGTAAAGGTTCATATCCTGATATATGTTACAAATCAATGTTTACATGCCTATCATAAAATCTATATGTCATTAATAAATATGATAAATACCTATATTGCTTAAAAATTACCATGGCAAAATGCCAGTTAAAGGCTACCTACTTGTGCTGAACCTGCTGCTGTTAGTTACTGTCCTAGATCTCCAAGTGAAGTTCTTTAAGGGAGTCTTTCTAGGTGACAACCTGGGTGCAAAGTGCTTTCCTTTTTATCACTTTGGTAGTGGGTCCAATGGCATTATATTCTTGGCAATTTTTTTTTCTTCTAGAATAACACTTATTTGGACATGCACACCAGATGAAGAAATGACCTAACAAAGTGTTTGGCCTTTTTTTACTAATCATTTAACACTGCTCTAATTGTCAAGATGAGCCACTTCAGAAAAATAAAACAAAAGACTACTCTCAGATGATGTCTTGGCCTATAGAATCAGTGAATCCAAGATTCATCGTGTAAATAACGCTTTCATGCCACAACTGACTGAAACTACAACCACAGTAGGATTTCTGGTTGATGGAGAGTTCACCAATTTAAGTATGCACTTTCTTAGAGGCACAAATTCTACACCATTTGGCAAACTAGAAACATATAGTAGAGTTACAGGGACTGAAGTTGTTCAACACAAGGCAGGTATCAGATGTTTTTAGACTAGATTCCTAAAACGTGACTGTAAGTGGGAAGTGCAGCTACCAAAGTCTAAGTTATAAAAAATCACAGGAATGTACATGAATTATGACTTGGTTTTTGCTTTCACCTTTTAATGGCATGGCAGTAATGGGTACTGGCATAAATTTTATTCATTTTTAGAGCACTGGCTGCTAAATGGGGTGGAATGGGTAGTAAAGCCAACTTGTCAACCCTTAGAATTAGCCCTTTGAACTTATTCAGGTTCATTCAATGCCATTCATCAAAATTTACCAAGTACATACTTTGTACAACACACTGCACTATTAACTAGGGGAGATACATAATTTAGACCCAGTCTCTGTTCTCATGGAGCCTATAGCTTAATAGGGGCATATGACAATGTGTATTCAGTAAGTATTTGAGAAAACAGCAGAACAAAGTTCTATGTGAGGGGGATGATCACCATGTTATTGGTGGTTTCACAAATGGTATGATATTTGAGTATGGAAGTAGTCCTCCAGCAGTACCTATGTATATTCTATTGCACCAAAATGTGAATAAAGAAAGTGGCTAATGAGAAGTCAACAGGCATAAGAGTTGTAAATGGTGCTGAGGACAAGATAGGGAATACACTGTCTTTATCTGTATGGACTAATGGACAATTAGATTTGGTGCCTAGCACATCATATAGTTTGGGAACTTAATGAATATTTGTTGAATTAAATTTGGCAAAAAGGGTTCTCCTTTTTTGGATTTTGAGAGAAAAGTATCAGTAAATAGGTGGAAAAAAAACAGATTTTAGGGGGTTAATTAATCAATGGTCGATAAGGAAATGAAGGAGGAATAAAATACTGCCTAGATATGCTTGGTAGAGGAGGAGAGACAGAATTAAAAGATCAACATCAAAGAATGATTGAGAACAAAAGATGGGAAATAATGAGATCTAAGGCACAAATGAAAGGAAGGTGGCAAACTCACCTTACGAGATGAGAAAAAAAAAGAATATAAGTGTAAACACAGAGCTACTTGAAGTAAAGAGGCCAGAGAGGCAATAATTCACTATGGGTGTCTTAAATCTCAGAACAGTAGCAGGTAAAAGTTTTATGATAAGAATGATAGGGATGAGGACAGTATGTTATAAGGTAATCCATGAGAAGACTAAAAGGAAATAATGAAGCATCTACTGTAATGCAGTGGAAGGAATGATGGATTTCAAGTCAGAAGAGTGGGATTCAAATCTTAGCTGTTACTATTATCTACATGAACGACCTTGGGCAAATTATTCAATTTCTCTGAGCCTCAAGTTCCTTGTTTGTAAAATGAGATTAGATGACACCTAAGGTGCCTTTTATTTGCAAATCCTATGAACCAGAAAACTGATAGTGAGACAGGACCATGTTTGTTCTAAGAGGTGAAGAGGGAGCACCTTCCAGGCATAAGCAGCAGCTTGTGCAAAGACATGGAGGCTGGAGATAAAATATCATGTACCATGGATAAGCTAGCAGACCAATTTGGCTGAAAGGTAGAATGACTGATAAGATGTAATGGGTAATCATCTTGGAAAGACAGGTCATAGTCAGACTGTCAAAAAGTCAAAGAAAGGAGTTTGTAGCTTATCTAAATGGCAATGAGGGATGGGGAACCTGTGTGTGTGTGTGTGTGCGCGCATGCGTGCGTGCAGGGCTGGGAACACTGAAGCTTCTTGATCAGGAGTGACATAATCAGATACTTTAGGAATATAACTATGATAGCTGTGTGGAGAATGGGTTGCAGAGGGAAAAAAATTGAATCAGGGGGACCAATTATGAGGCTATTGCAACAGTCCAGGTGGGAAGTGAAGGAAGCCTGGACTAGGGTGGTTGCAGTGTAAATAGAAACAGTGACTAACACATAGCAGGTAATTAATAAATATTGGCTGACTGAAGTGAAAGGAAATGGGGTCTCTAGACTTGGAAGTTCCGGAGATGACAGCTGAACACAAAGAGAGCTAATAAAATCACTGAGAGACAATATCCATCAAACCTTTAGATTCATTAGTTCCCTGCTTTTTGGAGCATATAGACCTCTTTCGTTTCCTTCATGATCTCATAATTTCACAACATTTATGTCAAAGCAGTCTTGTTTGACATGACAGTACATATTTAGATATCTAGCAAAGCACAATAAATCCTCATGAAAGCTATCTTTAGAGTCCATGTCCCAGACTGTCTTATAGGTAAGGCAACTTTATACAGCCTAACTAAATTCCCTTAGGGAGCAATCCAAGATGTACTCTTTTTTATCTTGAATTCCATCTACAATAAATGGTATTTTAAGTGAGGTGTTAGACTATTCTAGATGACAAATGATGTAATTAAGAAACAAAAGACCTTAGAATTAGGGGACAATTTAATAAAATACATCCCATGTCCTTACTGAAAATGTCCTATAAAAAAACTTTCTGTAAATGTTATAAATGCCATTATGATGGGAATCAATTTGAATTACAGCATTATTCAATTTAACTCTAATATAGTTTTTTTAATCTGCAAACTACAGAAACTAAATTATAAAAATACAGTTTCAATTGAAATAATATTAAAATAACTCAACGCTGAGAAAAAGCCTATTACTTACAACACTGAATGTCTTCTGGTCCAGCTCCTCAGAATCCTCAGATATAGGAACTGGTTCACCACTTGCAGTGATATGAACTGGAGCATCTGAAATTGTGGATTTCTTAGATTTTTCTTTGCTATCAGATTTGGTTTCACTGAGCTAAGAGGAAAAAAAAAAACAAAATAATTCTAGAAAACTGACTAGAGCAAAAAATGTACCTTTCTAAACTTTAGACTCAATAGTACTTATTCTCACTAAATTTCTTAAAATCCTACCTTCCCCAAATTTAACCAGAGAAATGAAAAATGAAGAAAATGTGTAAACTTCCTGTAATTTCTTTCTATATTAAGTGACCTTTGGTAAGTCACTTAACCTCTCTAAGCTTCAAATTTATTCATCTGTAAAAACAGGATAATAATATATTCACTAGTAATTCTTGTATTACCTACCCAAAAGGACTATTGTGAGGATTAAAATGAGACAATGTATGCAAAGTGTTTAGGTATAAAGTGCTACACATATATTATTTTTATATCAAGGACATATTATCAATTTGTTTCCAAACTGTTTTTCTTCTCTGCTGGAGGTAGAAATAATAAGGCCTTTAAGGGAAAGGTTTTCACCATAACTAAAATATTGGAGGAATTGTTGGACACTATTTCTTCCCCGGATATGAATATTTTATTCAATTTTCCATATTTTAAAGCTGCATAATGTGATTGTCATACCTTTTCTTCCTTTATGTCTTTGTCTTTCTGCATAGCTTCTTTTATTTTGCTTTCTCTTTTTTCTTTAATATCTTTTTCCTTTATATCTTTCTTATCCTCCTTTTCTTTTCTCTCCCTTTTAAGATCTCTCTTATTTTCCTTTTCTTTTGCTTCCCTTTTTTCTTCTTGTTCCTTCTTTATACAAACATCTGGCTCAGATTTTTCTTCACTGTCTTTTTCTGCTTTTACTTTTCTATTTGGATGTTTCACAGAAGTGATCTCATCCTGCAAAGTGCAAAATTTGCACCATATTACTAACCAAGTCTCAGCAATAGCTAACTAATTAAAAATTAATAATCCCTTCTACAATAAGGGGCACTTGCATGAATACGGAATCTGAATAAAAGGACTTCACATCCCATTGATACATGCAAGCTTTTCTTGTAATAAAATGAAAGCAAGCAACCCCATCAAATATTCATAATGAACTAGGAAGGAAAAAAATTCAAATGGCAAATATTTGAAAGAAAGGACTTTTAGTGATATGTAGAACTTTGCATAAATTGAGCCATGAAATATGAGTCATAAAGAGAAATTCCATGTGGGAAAACTATGGCAGATGACTTAACTCAAGTTATTAAGGTAAATAATCAATAAGAGACTCATCAAGTATCTTTAAAAGGGCAAAAAAAAAATTCAATGATTTTAAAAAACATTCTTACCTTGTCATCATCCTCATCAGATTTGTCTGAGGGCAATGGAGAAGAATCACTCCTTATTTCTTCTCTCGTTTTAACAGACTTCACCATTTTATTCTTCTTAGTCCTTATTTTCCTCCTCTTTGAATTTCCCTAAAAATAAGGATTTCACTTTCATACTAATCAACTCTCTAGATTCCATTTTGTAGAACTTACTTCATTACTAAATTTAAAATACTGAAACACCACAAATATTTACACCCACTTTTAATTTTTTTAGTGACAAGCAATTAACAATCATAAAAACAAATCCACAAAGATAATGGAGGTCAAGAAATAAATTATGTGGAATTCAATAACTCCCCAAATCTAAACCATAAATATTAATTGTAGTTGTTTCTATACTCAAAGAGTGAAGAGGTTAGGAACACTTTTCCTCCCAGGGCATGTATCAAAAGTAACAGTGAAAATTATTCCAAATTTCATGAATTTCCAATTGCTGCCCCTACTAGTCTTGGACAAAACTGAAAAGTCCATAGTTTATTTTCCTACCTCTCTTTTAGTAATCCTATCTCACCTCTAGGAAGTCATCTTCCCCAATACTAATACCTTCATGACTTCTGCCTAAATTTTCCTCTGCAATGTACCCACAAGCTCCCTTCTTCCAATCTCCATCATTTTTCTAAATGTAAACTTCTGCCTTCTCATTCTACCACAACACCCACCTAAAAAGGAGTCAGCTATATGGTATCCCGTTTCTGCTATTTTCTGTCCTAGGATTCATGATGGAAGTGAGATATTAAAAATTAAGGAACAAAAATGAGAAAAGTAAGAAAAATTACACTTCAGATAATAAAATTTTTGATCAAATTTATAGAAACCCAATAGTAAATGAATTGTACTTACTGAACCAGAAAGTCTCTGAGCTTCTTTTTTTGCCAGATCTTTATTAAGTAATTTAATGAGGTAGTCTGCTCGGGTCTGCAACTGCTTTGCTTGGGGTTTTTTATCAGGATCATCTGGTAGAATCTGAAAAATAACTAACTTTTAAAGTCTCCTCATATTAAATAATTAATAATAACAACAGTAATAATAATAATAGACAACATTTATGTAGTTCTTTAATGATTACCAAAAACTTTACATGTATTATATCATTTGGTTTTCTATGTAGCAACATTACTTATAAGAAGTTAAAAAAAAAGATGACGTGAAAAATCTGCTTTGACCCTTTTCCACAGGATAGGAAAGTTCCTGACTGTTCCATGGGAATGAACTCTCAAAGAATATAAAGCATTAAATAACAATAAAAAGAACTTCCTCAAAGATAGAATTATACTACTTTTCTAAAGACTCTCCAAAATGGGAAGAGATCAATGGTTTAAACCAGTAAAGGAGGAGAGAACTATTGTGAAATTTCTTTTTTTTTTTGTAGTCATAGAAGAGCTTTTAACTGGACACTTGATGTAATACTATGAGATAAAGAATATAGAATTCACTATAAATTTTCAGTATATAAAAAAGTTTAAATACTACACTATGCAGTGACTTCACAAAGTGTGTATGTATGTATGTACAGCCTCCTAAACACAGTGATAAATGATATCGCCTATATGGAGATTTCACAGCATGAATTTTACAGAGAGCTCTATAACAGGGATTTAGTAAATAACTTTATGAACATTTATTTTCTTTGAAGGCTAACTTTAATACAAATTTTAAAACCTTAAGTTTTTCCCTCTCTGACAATTCAAAATAAAATGATTATTAGATAATTGTTAGAAAGCTTTTTCCTTACCCCAAATATAAATCTAACTCTTCCCAAAGCCTACCTATTTTTGCTCCTAGTGGCTAGTTAAGAACAAGTCTAATCTCTGTTTAAGGTGACAGCTCTTTAAATACTTGAGTACAGCTATCATCCTTCCCCCTTTCCTAAAATGTAAAATGCTCAAAACTGAACACAATATTCCAGATGTGGTCACACCAATACAAAGTGTACTAATAGTATCATCTCCTTATTGCTGGGTATTATGCCTCTGACTTCCTAGTTTTTGATCCTCTGTGACTAGAAATCTAGGAATATGTTTAATGAAGGCAGGGAATTCAGCTATATTTCTTTTTCTTGTTTTTTTAAGATGCCAAGTCACACACTGTTGACTCATATTGAGTTTGTAATCTACTAATGATCTCTGATCTTTTATAAACTACTTTCTAATCATGTCTCCCTCAACTTATGTATTTGTGAGATGAATTTTTTAATCCAACTGGAAGACTTTATATTTCTTTCCATTAAATTACATTTATACAGCTCAACCCAATATTCTAACCTGTGGAGGTATTCTTGGATCCTAACTCTGATAACCAAGGTGTTAGTTAATTTTCCCATATTTATGTCATTTGTACATCTGGTAAATATGCAATCCGTGTTTTATCCAAATCACTGGAAGAGAAAAGATAAGTCTACTCTAATGACAATACTGGTTCTGTTTTTGCCTTTACTGATCTTTACCTGAGATATTCTTCACTACACTGTTCCCTGCTCTGGCTTCTGATTTTCCTCTCATGAATATATCTTCCTAACATATAATGCTATGATGTCCCATTTTTTGACTATTTTTTCTTTTGAATGACGTATGTATTCTTAGAGTCATATTTTAGTCATAGGTCTCATCCCTATTTACAAATATCAGTGATACCTGTGAGATCAAATTTGCTTCCTCTCATTTGGTCCGATTTTGCTTTTAGCTCTTGGTATATAGAAATATTCAAGTAACCCAAAATTTTAAAGCACTTAATGTTTTAAATAATTATTCTGAACTTTTAAAGAAAATGTCAAATTTTTTTTATTTGCATTAGAAAACAGAAGCATTTATCAAAAGCCCATTTTTAAAGTTTAGTAAGGGATTCTTGGGGCATGTAGAATTTTTAAAAATCTGAGAACTATATTTAGTATGACTGGCTTTCTATAAGGCCATGTATTCGATTTCATGCATTTTAAAACATTCTGAGAAGTCTATAGCCTTTATTGGAATGCCAAAGGGGTCACTGACTTATAAAAAGGTTAAGTATTCCTGCCTTGAATTTGCCATAAAAAGGAGAATTTTTCAACTGGAGAGAACTTAGGTATCAGACATGTCATAGATTAGGATATTATAATGGCCTTAGATTCAGAAAGGCATGTTTGTGTCCACTTCCTGTTTTAGGAGGTAGGTGCTCAATTATCTCCATTTTACAGATGAGGAAATTCAGGCCAAGAAAAGTCAAGGGATATACCCAGAAACACACAAATAGAAAGTGTCTCACATCCACTATACATCTAGTTTCTTCACAAGAAAAGGACTAGAATGTAGATGTCCTGACTCCTAATCTAAAGCTTCAATTCAAAGAGGTAAGGGTTACGTTAATACCAAAGAAAAATTCAAAATGTGTATTGAGAATGTTGAAACTTACATACCTTGTGTGTTAAACTAAGGTCAGGATCCATTTTAATCATTTCCCAGCTGCCATACCCATATTCATAGATGCCAATTAATAGATTGGAATCATCTTCTTTGCCCCAGTCTATATCAAAGTGAGCTGCCTTTGTGTGGCATGGGATGGTATACCTAGCAAGAAAATTAATTACTCTATTAAGCCACTTTATTTTAGTTTTATATATAAAAAGAATTTTTCAAGATTATGGTCTCCAATAAAAAAATACGCTTTATTTCAATTTTAAAAGTACCTAAGATATATCATCAAGAAAAACAGATTATAACACATATAGAAACCATTAATTATCAAAAAAAAAAATTTAAATGGGGGAAACACTCACTGTTTCCTTTCTTCTGGATCTGATGGAATCGATTTGTGCAATGGTACTAATTCTTCTTCATGAGAGATGACTAATTTGGCATTCACTTGCACTCCTGATATTCGGAATGTTGGACCCTTCACTTTTCCAAGTCTACCACCTTAAAAAACATAAATTTTCATGGTATAATTATATGTAGTATGATATAATAGTATAATATATAATAATTTTACAGGATGCAAAGTATAGCAATATAAAGATAACACACTCAAAAGAACAAGTTATGGTAAATTAATACAATGGGGTACTATTAAACCATTACAAATTACAAAATTACGAAAGACTGATTTCAGAGAAACCAGAAGACATGTATGAACTGATGCAAAATTAAGTGAGAACTGGAAAAAGAACTTACATAAAAGCAACACCATAAAGACAAACAACTTCGAAATACTTAAGAACTGTGTTCAATTCAGTGAACAATCATAATTACAGAGAACTGATGATAAACAGAGGGGTGATAACAGAATGAAAGCACCACCATCATCCCAGTCCCCAGGCTTGCAACCTAGACATCATTCTCAACCTTTCACTCTCTCTCCCTCCAAGATCTAATCTGTTGTGAAAACCTTTGCAACATCTTTCCATGCTATCCCTTTTTATACTTCCCTGTAACACCACTCTCATGGTACAGGCCCTCATCACCTCAGGCCTGGACTAGTGCAACAGCCTGCTAGTGGGTCTGCCTGCTACATGTCTCTCTCCCACTCTCGTTTATCCTCCATTCAGCCACCAAAGTGATTTTTCTAAAATCCAGGTCTGATCACATCACCCTCATACTCAATAAATTCCAGTGGCCCCCCCCATCATCTCCAGGATCAAATACAAAATCCATTGTTTAGCATTCAAGGCCACCTCCTAGCTTCTTTTCTTTGAGTCTCAACTAAAATATCATTTTCTACAGGAAGCCTTTCTCAAATCTCTCTTAATTCAAGTGCCTTTACTCTATTCATTATTTTCTATTTATTCTATATATAGTGTCTTTGCTCATATTTGTTTTCTTGTTGTCTGCACCATTTGACTGTGAACTTTGTAGACTTAGCTTTTGCTTTTCTTTGTATTCCCAATGCTTAGAACAGTGCCCAGCACATAGTAGGCACTTAAGAATGAGACATACATTTTTAGACTTGGCAAATTTGGGAATTTGTTTTGTTTTCTCTTTTTTTTCCAACAGGAAGAGAGAGGGAAATTAAATTCCTATTAATGGAATAAAATAAAGTTCCCCCCCCCCAAAAGGAACCAGTAGGTGTTTCCTTACAAGGTTCTGTCATAAAAGGTCTGTGTTCAAATAGCAAGAGTCCTGTAATACAGAGAAAAAAAATTTCTCAAAACCTTATTTAATTAGTTTCACATAGAAGTCATTTTCTGGTTAAACAATATTACAAGTAAAGAAATAAACTGGTCTGCTGTATGCTGTATTGTTTTTCAATAATCCTGTATATTTTTAAAACACAGGTTTTATAGTTTATTTCATTTAATTAACCATGTACTTATTTGCTATTTTGTTTAAATTGCCTCACAGATAGAAAATGTCATTCAAGAATTTGTCTAAACTATTTTGTATATCAAAAAAGACAAGATTACATCCACTCAAATAGCCTTTTTCCATGCTTGAATTCTCCCTCCCCCAAAAAATTAATTTGCAATAAAATCATCCAGTATTTAGTACATTTGCATTTCAAATCGTTTAAATGGAATAATGAGTAACTAATCTAAACTCACTCCCAGCCATCTTTAACATATTTAAGTAAGTGATGACCAATTTCATCAACATTAAAGGATGGGATCAGATGGATAATTCTTATAACCATTTTCTTTTCTTTAAATTTTCTGGATGCCCTTTTTTTGTTTTACCCCCAGTCATAACTGTATACTGCCATCAACACCACCCAAAGAACTTTCCTCATATAACAACAACAAAAAAAAAACCGTTAAGCAAAACTACCACTTAGTGGAACCTTATCTGTTAGCACATGACAACTGTCAGAATGTGTAATATTTAACATTTCTATCAACAGCTTTCTCTCAATATCATGCAGCCTGCTTCATGCTCTGCTTTTGTCTTTCCTGCCATCCAAGAGCAGTAATTCTTTCTTTTGTTAAGACCAATAGAGAGAATCTAGGAAATATGTTGGGGATAATTTTGAGCCCTGGAGAGCCCAATGATATAACATTACTTAATTCAGTCATTTCTATAGTACAAGAAAATTTATATTCAAAATTGGTTATTTTAAATCTATATAAATTCCCTAGTGGCCTTGCAGAAGCTCCTACTGGGAAATTACTTTCTTGCTGGTTGCATCATTGTAAGATCTCCTTGATAAGTTCTAAAACTACTAAACAGGAAAAATCCAATAGACCAAGAATACATTGTCAAGGTGGGTGGAAAGGGGGGGGAGGGTGGCACAGTAGATAGGGCACCAGACCCGGAGTCATGAGTTCAAATCTGGTCTCAGACCAGACACTTCACACTTATTGGCTGTGTGACTCTGGGCAAGTCACTTAACCCCAATTGCCCCCCCCCCCATACATATTGTCCAGGCTATGACATGCAGCTAAATGGACAGTCTATATAGCTGGCATTCATTGGCATATATGCTTTGGACAGACACTGCAAATAGATGAAATAGACCCAATACTGAAAAGGTGGGTCCTTTTCACCTTTAATGACTCCAAACTTCTTTCTGAAATTAAAGGCTAACTTTTTAATATAAATATTTTAAAATTATTATTATATGATTGTGGGTTATGTAACAGTAGTCTTCAAAGAATTAAATGTGTATCATGCAGGGCAAAGGAGAGGCACATGGTATGTATAAGCAAGCTGCAACATGTAACAAATAAAGAACTATAAAGAAGTAGGTGTCATCAAAAAACTGTATAAACAAAAAAGAAGGAGGGCTGGTCATGTGCTAAGAATTAAAGATAATCACCGTATGACCTGTACCATTAAGATACTTCTGATATCACGAGATAGGAAAAAAAGAACCCTAGCATGTTAGATGGACCTCTAGCTTAAGGAATAACATGGAAAAAGAACTACACAGGATATGCAGGCCTGGATGGGTTGCTATTTGCACTGTCAAAGGGAACATTTCATCAATGAGACCATAAATCAACTTGGTTCTCTCAATGAAATTAACTTAAACAAAAACAAAAGTTAGCCACTTAAGAACACATGTTGGGCAATTTGAGGCACCTGTAACAGAAGTTAGCACTTGGTATGAATAATATCAATGAATGACACCATTCCTTTTTATCCCCATAATGTGATCCATTTCTCCTTTTCCCCTATTTTACAGGAACTCAAGTAGTTATTTCTTAAGTGTGCCATTCATAAGGGACTAGGCAAGAGAGTATGTATAGATCAGTGAAAATTCAATGAAATAAATGATTCATTTAATCAATGAAACAAAAATCTATGAATCTCTTCTGATGGCAGAAAGCATTTAATGAACAATGGGATTTAAAAATTTTTCTAAAGAAAACATGCTTAGTACTTAGTATTACTCCAATTAAACTTCAATAAGAATTGTGATCCAATATCTACATTCCTTTTTTTGCATTTTAAAGAATTTTCCAATAGTACTTTAACATTGTACCTGTTCGGTCCTGTCCAGAGGAACTATCCTTTAAAGCTTTGATACACCCATTATGCACCAGCTCCCCTAGTCGTCTGAGGTCTGTCTCTGACTTATCAACTAATTCAGCATCTCGAGCAATCGCATCTAATCTGTAATAAAATATCAGCAAAAGATTTATCAGGTATATTATAATAGGTTGTGGACTATACCAATAGCTGACATTTATATAGAACTTCAAAGTTTACAGGAGTTTTACATAAATGATCAAGGAAAGAGTAGAAGTGTAACAGGCTATCTACCTCTGGTTAAGTTACTCTAAATTCTAGTCCACACAACCTGAATAAAATACACCATAGAAATATTTAATAGGAAATAGTTTTCCCACTAGCACAGTAGTATAGTATAATATCTTCAAGGTTAAAGGGGTGGTTAAGATTTTTGTCACTTGTTAAAATGTCATTTTTCTAATCTGGAGATTATGAACCACCTGACAACTTTTAAATGAACTGGTAAGAAACAGTTGACATTTTTGATAAATAAAAGAAAGTTTAAAAGGTAATTAATAAATCGAATGAGACAGATAGCTTATATCATTTTCAATTCCTAAGAATAGATAAGACATTAATACAAATACTATTCAAACAGTTTGTTTAAATGAATAATACTCAAGTAGGTTTTCTGGAACCAAATGAAAATTAACTATTAAAATGCAATGTTTTACCTGAACAAAGAAAAGTCATCAGAATACAATATGTAATTTCCTGCATTTAGTGGACAGTTTGACAAAATTAAATTTTTAGCAGTAGTTTGGCTAAAAAAAGGGAAAAGAATACTCAAATCACTGACTATTACTGAAGTCAACAGGCCAGCTCAGAAAAACCAAAGGCTTTTCAGTTTGAATGTTGGTAAGATTTGCATAGCAAACTTATGCAAATAAGGATAGCACTAAATTATCTAAAGAATCACAGAATTTTGAGCTGGAGAGAATTTTAGAAATTAAAATACGTCAGTCTTCCCAGTGGTGGGGAAAAGGTTCTTTTAAAAATGGTTTTTTCAAAATAAGTGAAAATGAAGCACCTACATTTAAAACATAAGCACAAATTTTCTGAACAAAACAAATACAATCATCTATTTGGAAACAGTAAATTTTACTTCAAGGATAATTGCATTTACCTTTCCAGAGGACCACCAAATTTCTTGTAACTCTTGATAAACCTAACAGAAAATAATTGCTGTTGAAATGTGTGCTCAACTAAACTTCATTATTAAAGATATATAAAATTATAGAAAATAGTGATGCTTATTAATGGAAAAAAATCAAAGTATTGCTATCATGAACGAACCAAATGGACAATGCAAAGAGAATGCCCCCCCAAATCCATAGTACATACATATTAAAAAACCCAGTCTTATACTAATTTTAGAAACCAGTACAAATAAAACAATAGAAGCTAAAATTTATTTCAGAAATTATTTTATTATTTTCACAAGACAAAAAATTTTTTCAGAGCTAGACATTAAGTCATAGGAAATGTAGGCTTCAATGAATTCAGGGTGGGTGACAACCATATTAATACTCCCTTGATACAGTCAAGATGAAAGTAAAGAATTCTGATAATTACTCAAGGATTTAAATTCCAAGTTATGAGGTGACACCAATACTGAAAAATGAAAATCTTATTTTGAAAACAGAAACATATGAGTGGTTATGGAAAGCAAGAAGAGTCAAATGCCTCTTCTAAAGAAAGGCTCCCACCACTCAAATAGGCATGAAAGCATCTTTAATAATAGCTGCAGCACTTTAGCTTTCTGGTGGAGAACTTTATGTCATGTCTATAATTTAAAAGAAAAAAGGTTACAATGGTTTTAATAGAAATATTAAATAGAAACTCTGAAAATACAGAAATGAATAACATTTTTACAAACTTCAAATCCAAAAAGAGATTACATAAACAAAAATGACAGTTATTTTCCCACTACCATTAAAAAAATGCATTTGCACATACACGAACATATTTGAAGGGATATTTCACTGTATACTGCATAGCTATGTGACCTCACTTCCCAACTGCTACTCTCAATTCAAATATCTTAATTAACATGGTTCTTAAAAAAAAAATCATTGCAGTGTTCATAGAAAAAATATGCAAGTAATTTATCCCTTCATAAAAATAGTTGGATTCTTTAATGAATTAAGAATGGTGTGGATTACCAAAAAAAGAAAGTAGAGGATAAAGAAAACTGTTGTGTCAATGTATACTTTTATTACCTAAAATGGCAACAATTTTTAAGCTAGCTACATTATGGGACCAAAAACATTAAGTTAGGTATTCGGCATTTTAAATAACCTAATAGTACATAAATAGGAAGAAATGCAAGGTCAGTACCACACAGAAGTAGAACCACAAAACTGCTTGTGAAACAAATCTTAGTTAACAAATTCCTTTGGAAAGATGGGAGAGTTTGATGTTATTTTAGCTGTACCCTGTATTAATGTCAAGTTGAAGCAAATGGTCTTATTTAATCTTACCGCCTAATTTCTGCATCACTAAATCCTTTAATATTCTCTCGCGGGATAGTCCTTGGTCTTCCACGTTTCTTTGGCCTTTTTCTTTCAGATATCGAATCACTATCGGATCCAGAGTATCTTCTACTTCTGCTGCGTCGGCCTTCACTTCCATTGAAGCTAATCTGGAATGTCAAAGTGGCAAATATTTCTAAGTAATCAAAATAATAATACTCTTAGAAATAACTGTATGTACATGCACAAATACACATTTCATTCTGTCTAATAATCAGAAAATTCATAAATATTTCCAAGTCACAAAAAGATATTCCATATTACCATATCCAATACATACATGTTTTACATTAAAAGGCTACCTGTTTTGCACAGTTTCTCATCCTTGGTAGCATATATATTTCTTCAAGTTCCTTTTGTCTTTCTTCTTCTTCTAGCCTTCTTCTTTGATCTTCTGGAATGATTTCCTCCCAATTTCTTGAATTTCTTTCAGGTTCTAATTCAATATCATCTTCATCCATATTTGAAAAATTGGCTACCTAATAAAAATGAGAATTTTTTAAAGATAAATGGAAAAAATCACATAATAATTATAGCTACTTAATTAGGGAAACATTATTTTTCCCATGAGTATAACCATAAATTGACCTTATCTTTTCTGGGCTTCTCTTTCATAACCTATTACATAAGGGGGCTTGACTATGCAATCTCCAAAGTCCCTTCAAAGTCTAAGATTCTATTTTTCTTTAATCTCCTTAACAAAATCTTTGTTATTATACAATATGATATATCAGAGTAACAATTTAAAAAAAAGTCTCAAGACAAAAATTACTTGTTGATTTCAATTTAACAATCATTTATTAAACCTCTCATCCCCTCTGAGGATTCTGTATATTTTGTTTGTTTTTGTTTTTGCTTTTTGATGAGGCAATGGGATGAAGTGACTTGCCCAGGGTTATGCAGCTAGTTCAGTGACAGGTGTCTGAGGCTGAATTTGAACTCAAGTCCTCCTGACTCCAAGGCCAGAGCTCAAGCCACTGCACCACCTAGCTGCCCCCGGACTCTGTACATTCTGGAAAAATAGCTCAGGTCCCCTCCCCTCGCAGACTTCTATTCTCATCGAGACAATGCTTTTCAACAACAGGCCTGGGGAAGACTAAGGGATGGTATTTTTGGAAGGTGTCTTGCTTTCTAATAGCATGAGGGAAGTTAAATTGTGACTACATGACAATTTTGAATGTGTGAACCTGTAAAAACTTACTTTATGAACCTGGAAGAGAGGGGATCCCTAGTTAATTTGTTAGCTCTGGATGAATGTGATGAAAGGTGTTTATTCAGCCCTTACAGAAAAATGAGGTACTCTTTCCTGCAGAGGCCTCTCAAGAGGCAAAGACATGTATCAATTATCCCCCTGACAAAGCTCCCAAGGAAGGGGAGGTTTTGGTAGGTTAGCAAGGGAACATTGGAAGAATTTTGATATGAAAAGAGTGTCTGTATGAACTCAGATACTAGAACAGGTGGCATGCAAGAGGCTTATGACCTCTTACCTATAGCGAGGTTATAATTAATGTTAGCTAAAATAATGCAAAGTTCAATTCAGTGTGAATTATAAAATGTTACCAGGTTATATTTTAAATGACCCAAAATTCAATTAATGTGTCATCATCTTGCCCTTGCTTATTGTCTGGTGTGGACATAATGTCCTCCTATATACCATATTGCCAATGGTTGTGCTAATTTTTTTTAAAGTAGCCCTTATCAAAATGGACAAGAAAAAAAACCCCATAAATGAAAATATACCAGTGCAAAAATGACGAGGTGTGTTATTACATTAGAACCAAAAAAAAAATGTACTTGAACAGCAGGACATGGTCATATTAACTCTAAAATAAGATGCAATGTCAGAATGCCTAAATCTATGTTACAAAATATTATAAAACACACAGTAAAACAAAAGAAAAAGGCAAAGTTGCATTAGCTTTCTATGATTTGCAAATAACTACAAGTAAAAGAAATATTATAATGATAGAAATAAAGCATTTGGATTGCTAAAGCTCACAATCAAATGAAGACTTTCTCTTAGCAGGACAGCCATTCAGAGAAAAGCTTAACATTAAAATAAGTCAGTGAAAGACAACTGAAATCAAGTGGAAAGTGAAGAATTTTTTTTACTGAAAGCCTTTAATGGTTTGGTTGGTTTTAAAAATCAATTTCAGTTGGATAGTATTAGAATTATTAAGAGAGGCAGTCAACACAGATGAAGATGTGACAACTAAACTAAAATGTTTTGATGAAAATAGCTGCTTTTTTGTGTATAAGGAATAACACTTGAGAGGTAGAACCAAGAAGGAGAGTAGCAGAAAGTAATGCACCGAAGTCCTTCCAAATTCCTTCGAATAAATCTAGTAAATGCTAGTAAAATGCACCAGATCAAATCTTAATGAGGAAATTGAAAAAAAAAAAGTCAGAGTCATTTTGCCAACCCAGATGAACTTAGGGAGAAAGATAGAGAGCACTGTGCAGACTACAGATAGGGTCTGAATAGAAGCAATGCAGAAGACCAGTCTAGGGAGAAGCTGTGCCACAGGGGAAGAAGGGGCCTTAGGTCACAATGCCTGAAATGGGAACAGGTGCCACGTGTCAGCTTTACTGTTCACTGCTTAGTTCTGGTTCACAGATAAAGGGTGGACTGAGAAAGGGTCCTGTGCCACCCCGTTTGGGAGATATAAGCCAGAAGCAAGTTGAGAAGCCAGTAGCAGTGGTATAACTCTAAACAGAGTTGCGTTTCAGTTTCAGCTTCTAGCCCCATCTGAAGTCTGCCAGAGGGAAACTAAGGCCGGATTCCCAGAACAAAGAAAAACTTGTAATTCTGTCACTCTGAACCTTCCCAGCTTCTCCAGCTGACTGATAGTGTCTGTGTCCAGTAACAGTCCACTATGGCTCAGATCCAAATTGTAGAGATGAAACCAAGGAGGCAGCAAACAGACTTTGCTCTGGGAGAACTGAAAGCCTCCAAGTCTCCAGCCTGATTTTCCCTGAAGTCAGCACAAGAGTCAATGCTCTAAGAAAACATTTACAAAGAAAGTCTCAAAGAAAAACACAGCTTGGATACAAAGTCAACTAGAATTTCTGGAAGACTTGAAATAAGAGTTAAATGGGGAATTAAAATTTTTTTTTATAAAGAAATGAGTGTTTGAGGGAAAAAAACAGAAAAGAAAGCTATGGAAAAGAGAATTGGAAAGGCAAATAACAGCTTGGAATAACAAACCATCTCCCTAAAAATTAAGATAAATCAAATGGAAGTCACTGACTCCCTGAAAGAAAATGTTAAAAAAAAGTCAAAAGACTGGAAAAAAAATGAAACAAAATATAAAGTATTTCATAGCAAAAACAACTAACCTGATAACAGATCAAGGAGAAAAAAATTTAAGAATCATTGGATTATATGTCATGACCAAAAAAATAAGCTGACATATCATCTTTCAAGAAATCTTAAAAGAAAATTGCCCAGATCTTAGAGCCAGAGGCCAAAGTACAAATGAAGAGAATTCAGTGGCCACCTCATGAACAACAATAAAACAAAAACAAAAACAAACCCAAAATGAAAACTAGCAGCAACACTGAAATGAAAATCCAAAACTTTCAGATCAAAATAAAAATAGTGCAAGCAGCTAGAAAGAAAAAAAACAAGTACTGAGGAGGCACAGTCAAAATCACCATAATTTAGCAGACAACAGTATAAAGGACTGGAGAGCTTAGAATACAATATTCTAGAAGGCAAAGGATACAGGTTTATAACCAAGAATAATTTTCCCAGCATAACTGAATATAATCCCATAGAGCAAAAATGAAACAAAAGATTTCAAGCATTCCTGATGAAAATACTAGAACTGTGTAGAAACTTTGAAGCCCAAAACACAGATGATAAGAGTAACTTTAATAAAAAGGTAAACTTGAATAACAATCATAAATGACTAAAACAAGGATACATTCAAACACAGGGAGTTGATATATGTAGCCCCTTGAATCTATCTATCATTATCAGGGGTAACAGAAGGAATCTATACAGACAGAAGGCTTGGGAGTGGTTTTCTGCCTTGATGATCTTAGGAAAACAAAGAGGAAGAGGAATATACAGGGGAAGAAGGGAAAATTATCTCACATAATCAGGGGTACACAAATAGACAAACAGTAAGATGAGATGAGAAAAATGACTTTTACTTGAACCTCAGTGTCCTCTGAACTGGTCAAAAGGGAGAAAAATACATGCACACAGAGTGGGGTGTAGAAAACATTTCATTCAACAAATTAAGAGGAAACAAAAGGGAGAAAGGAGAAGAGGGAATTAGAGGGAGGGCAGATTAAAGAATTAATCCTAAGCAAAGCAGACTCTACAGATGTACAAACATATTTATAGCTCTTTTCAATGTGGCAAAGCATGGGAATTTGAGGAGGTTCCTGCAAATTGGGAAATGGCTGAAGAAGTTATAGTAAATAAATGAGACAGACTGACTATATTGGGCTTCAAAAAAATGATGAAGAGTATGTTTTTTAGAGAGACCCGGAAAGAACTGTATGAACTGATGTGGAGCGAAGTGATCAGAACTAGGTGAACAAGTTATACCATGACAAAAATATTGGTAAAGACAAACAACTTTGAAAGTATTAGAAACTCTGAAAAATGTTGATGATGAACTATGATTCCTACTAAATGAAACATACCACCAATCTCCTGATGGAAAGGTGAACAGCTAAAGAAACACTGTTTCTCTCTTTTCTGCACACATCCATATTTGGACATGGCCTATGTGGCAATTTGTTTTGCTTAACTATACATGTTTGTAACAGGGAGAGGGGTGAGAAGATGAATTTTTGCTGAATGAAAAAATAAAATTTTAAAAAATAAAGAATTACACAACTTTCTTTTAAGGTTAGATGCATATGTCACCCTATAAAAATCTCCTGCAATATCTTAGGCACTGACATTTATGGGATGTGTGCCTACAATAATAGCTATTTGCTACTTTACACGATTGATTTACTTAAGATTTCTGAGGGAAAAAGTGACACCTCTGAATCTCTTATTTGAAAACTTTTAGACTGCAATAATTTTGTTTCAGTGGCTAGCAAACTGGAACTAACCTGGTTGAATCAAATTCTGCCAAAAAATTGCCAGCAATGAAAAATATATAGTCCAAGAAAAGCCTTATCCTCAACTTAATGAATTTATTCATATTTTCTGTTTCCAAATAAAATTCTTACTAATACCCTTAAAATACATGACTAGGAAAATAACAAAAGAGTTAATAATACATGAAAAATTTTATACAACCTAACTACATTGACTGTTAGTCTACCATAATAAGACAAACACTTTCTTTAAGAAGGCTATATACTTTAAAAAAAAAAGTCTATATACTTCCATTTTCCAGCAGACTAAGTTGAAAATTAAAAAAAAAAAACTTAAAAAGTGTGACAATGGAAAAACTATGTATCTTAATCACAAAATGCCAGAATTAATAGGCAATACAAGTAGCCTATTAGCTGATAAGGAAAATAAGGGCCACTGATGTTATATAATTTACCCAACATCATGGAATCTCAGGTCTCCAAAGATCATTTAGTCTAACCTAGACCTAAAAAGATATCCTCATGCTAGAAGATCTCAGTCATATATCTCACTGCCTTCTAAAGCAACACATTTCATTCTTTAACAATTCTGATAATTAGGATACTTGCCTTTTTTTTTTAAACACCAAACCAAATTCTCCATCTCAAAACCAATCACTACTAATTCTGCTCTCTGCTTCAAGACAGAATAAATATATTTTTCTTCCATGTGATCGCTTCAAATGCTTAAAGATGGAAATCACGTTCTATGTGTCTAGCCCCAACTAAGCCTTCCCTTCTCCCAGAAAACTAGGTCTCTCAATTTGACCAATGTGTGGCATATATCTCCTCTCAGCATGGTAGGCACCTTATAAGAACTTCCACTTAACACAGAAATAAAAACTAAACCCGCGTCTCCAAAATTCTGTTAACTGTGTTCTTACCATTATTCCAAATGATACTCAATTTTCATATAAATTGTTTCTTTAATAAAAAAAAATGCTTCAAAAATGAGAAATATACCTTAAACTGGGAAAGCAATTCATCTCCTACAGTTAATGGGCCTGGTTCATTTTCATGAGTTTCAGCTCTCTTCAGGATTTCATCAATATCCATTTCCTATAAATGGAAAGAATATTTTAATCTTGGGAACTTAAGTATGGCCATACCTACTCCCACATAAATTCTATGTGTTAAATTCTCTTTACCTGAGGCTCTTGTTCTTCTCCTTCAGGTTCTTTAAAAAGTTCTTCAGCACCAAATTTTAAAATTGCCGATAACTCTTCCTTATTAAAAGGTGTAGAACTAAAGCAGAAAAAAACGAACCACGAATCACATATAAACAAGCTAATTCAATATTGTAAAAACACTTCTTTAAATATTTATGTGTATAACTGTAAACACCCATGAAAATTTATGTAAAAATCAGAATCTAGCTCAACTGTTTGATGTTATCAAAACACTCTCTGCTTATAAAACATCTACCTTGAGGGAGCAGAACCTGTGTGTAGAACAGTCTTCCCAGTTGTGTCCATTCTCTGAATTACCAGATGATCAAGCACCATCTTTTTTTTGGCTCTTTCAAGAATATCTTCTTCAACTGATCCTTTTGTAACTAGACGATAAATATTAACCTATGTAAAAAAGTACACCTCAATTTATATAAATGATAAAATGAAGAAAGTTATTATTGTTACAAAGAAACATTCAAGGGAGTACAACTGCCAATATAGTTTACTGTTACATGCAAAGCACTACAGTTTGTCTCATGGGGATACAAAGACGAAAAGCTTCTTTTCTCAAAGGAGGTTTTAATTTAGTTGCAAAAACACAACAAACAAAAACAACCCTAGTGTAGGTATCAAAATACTATAGAAATATAGTGAGAAAAATCACTTGGGTCGAGAAGATTGGAGAAGGTAGTAGAAGAGATGGAATTGGGATGGGTCATGAAAGATGAATAGGATTTTCACAAAGGGAAGGAAGAATTAGAGCATTATGGATATGGGAATACTGAATAAACTAAAAAAGAAAAGCAAAAAGCATGATTCAAGGCAGCTTAGCTACAGTAAAGGATAGGATATATATAGTACCAGGTTTTAGAGAGTACAGACTTTAGTGCACAGAAACAGGGAACCATTAAAAGTTCTGGAGCAAGATGCTGTCGTGATTGCAGCTAGACTTTAGAAATTGATTTGGCAACAATATGTAAAATGTATTGGAGAGAAAGTGATCAGAAGACTGGAGACCAGCTAATAAGCTATTGCAATGGTCCAAACAAGAAATAAGAAAGGGCTCAAGTAGGTGGTTGTTGCAGAAATGGAAAGAAAGGGATGGAGAGATTGGACACTACATTCAACATTCATTTTTTCTTTAATCTGCGTACATCACACTGTTCATAAGAGTTGGAGAGTATAATAAGATTTGGTGACTGGTTGGACGGTAGCAAACGATAAAAGTTTAGAGTTTGAAGAGACACAATGCTTTGTACATAGCGTGCATTCAATAAATGTTAAACTGAACATATTAATTTCAAGGTTTCAAACCTATGAATGGAAAACTGGCAATAAAATGTACAAAAATAGGAGTGTCAGAGAGACTAGACATTTTCTGTGTTAATAGAGAACAAGAGGATAAATTCACTGTTGGACATGCTGATTAAGGTAAAACGAAGAAGTCTGGTAGGTAGCTGGAAATGCCAATCTGGAGCTTGGATGAGAAGGAACAATAAATAAAGGTTTTGAAGTCAGCCACAAAAATATTAAAAAACTTTAGAGATGGGAACATCCATAGAAATCACTTAAACTAATCCCTTCACTTTATGCATAAGTAAACTGAGACTCAAAGAGGTAAAGTGACTTGCCCAAGCTTTTCCAAGAGCTAAGCCTGGTACCCTTATTTTCAGTCCAGTGCTACCTCTTAAGGGCAGCTTGGTAGAGCAGTGGATAGAGTGCTCAGCCTGAAGTCCAAAAGACTCATCCTCCTGACTTCAAACTTGGCCTCAGATACTTACCAGCTATGTGATCCTGGACAAGTCACTTAACTCTTTTAGTCTCAGTTCCTCATATGTAAAATGAGCCGTAGAAGGAAACAGCAAACCACTCCAGTATCTCTTCCAAGAAAAGCCCAAATGGGGTCATGAAACATTGGACATGACTAAAACAAAGCTGCCTCTCAAATCATAATTGAAGTTAAATACACACACACACACACACACACACACACACACACACACACACACACACACACACACACGTGAGAAAGAGTTTAATGACCTGGGAGGTGCATAGCTTTGCAAAGTATGGGGGAAGAATGCTATTGTCTAAGAAATATGTTAAGTCAGTACGATATCAAACATTTTTCTTCCAAATAAAGTATAAAGTGTGAAATTAATCCATGCTTTTATGTACAAACAACAGGACTTTTTTAAAGGTATGGTCTTCTTAAATATTAGCTTTACTGTCAGTTACTGGTTGAGCTTTGGGGAAATGCAGTTATATATCAATTAGAACAGTGTTTCTTGACCTTTTTTATGAGTCATGAACTCCTTCTGACAGACAAATCAAGTCTGTGAATCTCCTGTCAGTATAATATTACTAAATGCATTAAGTAAAATACATAGGATTATAAATAAAACTGATTATATTGAAATTAAAGACGCAATTTTTGACATCCAAGTTCACAGATTCCCTGAAATCTATTCAGATACCCCTTTAGGATCTGTTGATCTCAGGTCAAGAACTGCCCCTCCCTCATGTTAGTGAGACTTCAATCTTCCTTAAAAAAAAAAAAAAGATAGTAAAGAATTAACAAATATCAATTTAAAAGGCCCTAAGTGAAGACTGGATTTCAGAGTGGTGATGTATTTGTACCTGTTTTTTCTGCCCAATTCTATGGGCTCTAGCTTGTGCCTGCAGATCATTTTGTGGGTTCCAGTCAGAATCAAATATAACAACAGTGTCAGCAGATGCTAAATTGATGCCTAGTCCTCCAGCCCTTGTGGAAAGTAAGAAACAAAAGTCCTATAGAAATAAAAGAAAATAGTGACACTTTAAAATTCATCACAGTTGAATGTCATTAGAAACAGATGCTGTAATAATATTAATTCTGAGAGGAAACTAGTGATATTAGGGAATTAGCAAATTTTAAATGTCAAAAGCAAATTTACCTTTCAGCAAATGACTCTGCATCATAACTTACTTTTTTTTGCTTTCTGGTGAGGCAACTGGGGTTAAGTGACTTGCCCAGGGTCACACAGCTAGTAAGTGTCAAATGTCTGAGACCAGATTTGAACTCAGGTCCTCCTGACTCTAAGGCTGGAGCTCTATCCACTGTGACATCTAGCTACCCCCATCATAACTTATTCTATAAAAACTTTGATGCACAGTTCTCTTTCTAACACAGGAATAAGAAAAATTCTTTGACAGTCAAAACAATGGAGAAATCTACTTAGGAATAATTTTCTTAATCAAATTGACCAATATATAGACATTTCAAAGTGCTTTCAAAAAGTTAAAATAATAATTCATCATGGTTACTAAAGAGACATATGTATATTCAATGTTTAAATGGGAGAAAATAATCAAATTCAGACCTCAGATCCTTCAGCATTAAAATGATCTAATGCTTGTTTTCTTAATTCTCCTTTGATTGAACCATCTAATCTCTGGAATGACAAAAACATCAGTTAAAGATAATGAACAGGAAAACAATAATAAAGACAAAATTCTTATGTGAAAAATGAAATAAAATTGCAAAATAAAGTAAATGTGAATGAAACTATAAAGCTCATTAATAAAACTGAAGTAATTCTAATCTCTCTCAGTGGGTTTAGAGGATAACAAGTATCACAAGTCCTTTCTTTTAGGAGTCATATATGGAAGTAACATAAGTGATGAAACAAGCTTCTTAAAAGATTGCCAAAAATTTTTCTGTATGATTTTAACTTTGCCAATTGCTCTTAACTTACTATCAGAGTTGGCACGAAATACTAACTTTTCAGTTGAATTTATGAGCAACTGACAGTTGGTTTAGGTTCAGAGAGGCTTAGAATTACATATCTAGAGCCAGAACGGGATCTTAGAAGTTATCTAGCCATGCATCAAACCCTGTCTACTACACAGTGAATTAGAAAATCACATAGTAACATTATGTTCTATTTTATTTTTATTTATTTTGTTAAATTACATTTTACATCCCAATTACATTTTAATCTGGTTCAGGTACTGTTAGTCGTCTCTGATCTGGCCCACCATCCTCATTTACAGATAAGGAAACTGAGGCCTAAATCATTTAAAGTGATTTGTCCAGGGTCACACAGCAGTAGCAAAGTTTGATATTAAATGGAGATTCTATGAACCTCCGTTCAACACCCTTTACATTAAATCATGTTACCACAAACTGGGATTAAGATGGCAGGGATAATTTGGACTTTTTCTCAAGGAAAGAAATTTTATTTTCAAGAAGTTTATAACTACGGAATCTCTCTTAGATTCAAAGGTCATACACAGTAGGTCAAAACTAGACCTACACTAATTATCAAAGGCCAGGGTACCTTGCACAAATCAGGTGCTAAATAATTATCTACAGTCCCTGAATTCCCTTTTATGAGAGATTATGTCTACTTTTGCTATACTACTATCCCACTACTGCAGCACTTATAAACTCATGAACTTAACATAAGGCATTTAAAAAACACTTAAAACACCCTGGTACCTTTCATAGAATTTCTACATTTTTTTTGACTAACTATCACATTGATACCAACCCCACCCCTGCCGAACAGCTTCAAAGGGGCTAGTTAACTTCCACAGGAACAATTATATTAATGAGATGAGCCAAATAGTGTTATACTAGGGTTCAAGAATTTCAGAGTATGATCTGGTTATAACATATTAGCAATGTGATTTCAAAATTTCAACGTGATTTCAAAATCACGTTGGCATGATAAGCCGCATGAGGAATGCTGTATTTAAAAAACTGTCTCTAAACAATGACTTCTAAACAGAGAAAATATTTTTTATTTTGCCCTGAGGTTTCCCATACTTCTGCTTTTCTTATCTAAAACTATTGCTTGGAATATGCCTATCATTTGTCCTTGGATTTGAATCCATCCCTACAGAATGTTTTTAAGCCATTTACAGAGCTTCAAAACATGTAGGAAAATTATAAGAATAAAATGGTTCTTTGGCTAAAGGTAAAGAATGAACAGAAATAAAGATAAAAAAGAAAAAGAAAATAGGACAGTTGTTGAAACATAAAAATAATAAAAGCAAGAGATCTTTTTAAAGGATCAGAATATTAATGTCATTTTTTAAAAAGTCGGAAAGATAATTTTATATAATTTTCTTGGAAAATAGACTAAACTGTAAGAACAATAATGATGACAGTTCAAGTTTAAAGTTAGTCTTACTTGAAAAGGGAATTGACGATACTTCAAATATTCTGCAAGTATGTCTAACATCCGCACCATTTGAGAGAAAATTAAAACTCTGTTGCCTCGTTCTTTTAGCCGAATCAACAGCTTATCAAGAAGAATTAATTTTCCACTACTTCGGATTAAATGCTAAAGAAGAAATCGGTTATAATTATTATATATTATGAAAAAAGATGAAATCAAATGTAATCCTTCATAGCAAACTTGTTATATATAGGTTAAAGAACAACATGATGAAAAATAAAATTAGCTATTTTGAAAAGAAGTTTTAGTTCATATTTATAACTCTTAAAGACCTATATAAATGTGAATGACTGTTATTATATTCAAGCTCCTTTAAAAATCTTTTAATCTGCTTTTCCCAAGCTTCCTTCAGTTGCAATTTATTTACTATTGCATGTCACTATAGGCTGAATTTTTATCTTCCTACACAAAAATTCAAGTTTCATTGTATACTTCCTACTCAATGCCAAATCTTGAAAAGATTTTTGCTCCAGACCAACCATGAACCAGCAAGAAAAGACAAACTAGAAGTGAAGTAAAAAACAAGCCAATACCCTCTCACCACTTTATTCAAAATTGAAATGGATCTTCATTATAATAGAAGTTTATTCATAAGGTCAAAACACCTGATTTTCAATGTCATTAAAATTCCTCAGGTCTCAACTAACCTGTTGCTGATTGGGTGATAAAGCAAGCTGTCTTTTCCTGAAGGAATCTCTCTCTCTCTCTCTCTCTCTCTCTCTCTCTCTCTCTCTCTCTCTCTCTCTCTCACACACACACACACACACACACACACACACACACACATATTTTTATGATATTACCATCATTTTTTCTCTGAAGTTATAACAAATGAGAGGAAACAGTACAGTAAATAAAGGACTGGCTTTATATTCAGGAAGATCTGAGCTGAAGTGTATTGCATTTTATACACAGCTATACAATTATGGACAAGTTACTAAACTACTTAGCACCCCAGTAAGCAAGTGAACAGGACTCTTATTAAGTTGTTTGCTTGAACTGATGGATTAAGTTTGATTACCTGGGTTTCCCCACTGCAATGAAATTCTACACCCCTCTCCAAAAAAGCAGCAAATGCTACTGGATCTCCTTTCAATTTTGATTATGTTCATTTGGAAAGGGGTACTAAAAAAAATGACTGGGAAATAGAAACCTCCCAAATCAAGTCAAATGCTACAGTCACAGCTAAATCCACTCAACAAAGTGATCTGGTACTAAGGGGAATAAGGCAAGAAATTAGACTTAGAATTCACAATCTGATTCTAAAGGAATTTACTAGGAACATTTCTCATGTCAGATTTTAAAAGAAAACTGTACTTTTCACCCTATCAAATGAAGTTTATCTAAAAGGCCCATTTTTAACATGATTACTAAAAAGGAAGGGGAAAGGCTCTACAACATGACCATAGATACAAATGATTCTAGGGTCTCTGCAGGTCAAAAACCAGATGTGGCTAAGTACTGGCTTGGTAAAGACATTCAATCAATAAGTAAATAAATGAATGAATGAATGAATGAATAAATAGGTGAATAGATGAATGAATGAATAAATAAATAAATAAAATCTGCTGCCATCCTAAAACAAATCTGTATAATGAGGGTTCTGAGAAAATCAAGACTTTGCTTGTAATTTACATGCAAAAGATATACAGGACAGACCAGCTTACTACTGCTGATGTTTACGTTATGTTCCTTTATGACTTAACAGCAGCAACTAGCTCTAACCTCTGGTTAGTGTCTTTTTCTGCCAGTGAGAAGCTGATTCTGAAGTCAGGATTTTGTTTACTGATAAACTTTAGATTACATACTAAAGTCCTAAGTTGACTCCATTTTAGGAAGGATATTTTTTAATTTAAAAGACTGACTTCTTTGCCATGACACATGGTAACAAAAATCCAGTAATACCTTTGGCAATTTGGTACAAATGTTAATTTTTACACACAAGAATAATTTTTGAGTAAAAACTACATCAATACAACTAAAATTTTATATAACAATTAAAGACAGTTGCTAAACTAATTTTGTAAACTTTAAGTATCTTATTATATTCAAACATAAAATTTAAACAAACTAATAATAGTTATTGCCAAAAATTAAAAATTTCAACATAAAATTCAAACATCTATAAGTCCCTCATGAAATCCAAAATAATAATATGTAAAATTTTACCTGTAAGGCCTCCTGTTTATTATAGAATTCATTATTATCAGGTGGTTTGATGAGGTAGCAATGGTTACAACACTTTTTGAGCTCCATCATTATGTTCAAAAAGCCTGAGGTACTGCCCTTTGAACCTTTGCTAAGGGCTTTGTAATTCCTGGTTAAAATCCATCTAAAACAAAAATCATAGATGTAGCATGTTCACTAGAAAACAAACATAATTTGTGAAATCTTAAAGAGTTCATAGCACAACCTAGCTTACTAGAATAGAATTCCTCAATGGTGCTATTTTATGTTTCTTTGTTTTCATTCTGGATTTATGCTTTCATCAGTATACAGAGCTCTTGTTGTAGAAAATCTCTCTGCTTAAGTAGACATCGAATTATATTCCCCAAAACACCACTGACCCCATTAAAAGATGTCAAGCCTAAAAAGTCAGTTAATCTTCCACCCAAAGTTCTAAAGGGGTTTCAATATACTGAAAAAGTAATCATTTTCACACACTCTTCAGATCAGCCAAATTGGCCTTAATGTTGTTGCTCATATAAGACATTCCAACTAACTTTCTCTCTGTTTTTGCATAGGCCATCCCCATTCCTGGAACACACTGCCTCTTCACCTCTACACCACAGTGTCCTTCAAATGTCATGCCTCTAACACTCCTATCTTGATCCCCTTAATTACTAATGCTCTTGACCCGGGAATTACTTGGTATACCTTTTGCATTTAATTTTCTATATATGTGTGGCTGTTCCCCAAAAGGACTTTCATTTTTGTCTCTGTATTCTCAGCACCTAGCAAAGTGCTTTGCCAATACTAAAATACTAGATTTGTGATCTCGTTAATACTGAAATTCATCATTACAACCCATTCATGCCTGCCTACATAGATCTTGTCCATGTCTTCAGCTAAGTTAGCTATAGGAAGTCAAAGCCACTATGCTGAAGAGCTCCCTCAATTTCTCTGGATATAACAAGGATAATAGTGAAGTACATGGGCTGACAACTGTTAAGCCTAGTCCTCATTATGTGAAAGAGCCATCTTCTCTATATAATTTAATTTTCCATAGTGACATCTTTTATTTCTGTTCTTTGATGTTCTTCATTGGATATGTTTTGCAGCCTCCTCAGACGCCTCTCCACTATCCTCTATGTGATACTCCTTTTTAGTTCTTCACTGGTAGATTGCCTGTATAAAAAACATAGGCTACCTTTGCTTTCATGGGAAGCCTGGGATCACTGAAGGAGCTTTACAATTCTCTAAAGGTAATCCAACAAATTCTCCTTCTATTCAACTCTTGTATCAAAACTTGTTGTCAATCTATAGTTTGTCTGAGAAATGCATTCTAACATACCAGCTCTATCAAATATTTAGCCAAATGAAGGCTGCCAGCTGGGAAATAAGACATTCTCTATCCATAAGGATGGTCAGGTCAAACTCCTTTGAATGATCACAGATCTCTTCCAGGAAGCTCTGCAATATTGTGGGAGTTGATGAAATCAATACAATGTCTCCCTCAAACAAGAGCAACTGGAGTCTCAACAAGAGACTTCCTAATTCAGAGGGAATCCCTTATCAACTTGTTCTGTGAGCTAGATCTCCATCACAATGAACACATAGGCTACGCATACATTTTCCTTATTTTATGCCTAGCCTGATGTTTATAATAATATTTTTTTCTGTTGCTATATCTTGAATCAAGGAATGTAGAATGATTTTGTTCTGGCACATAGTAGGTATTTAGTTAATGCTCACTGAAATGAAATAAAAAACCTAACTGCTGAAAAACAAATTTAATTAAGTTACAATGTAAATGATAAATTCCTTCTAAAACTAGACAAGGACCTCAAGAAATCACCTAATTCAACTGTTTCCTTTGGAAAAAGTAAATGACTAGGCTAGAGGGCATGTAGTTGTTATCAGTGCTATTTTATTACCTACAATATATGGATGTTAGTAAATTTTGACCAGAACACAAAGTATATCAAGAGATTCAATAAGACTTGGAAAGGTAGGCTGGAATCATATTGTATACGGCTTGAAATTCCAAGTTCAGAAGTCAAGATTGAATTTATGCTACCAATGGGAAACCATTGAAGGTTATAATAACTGGGGAGTAACATAGAATAAATACAAAACATAGGACAAATAAACTCTTCTTGAGGATCTCTGAGGATAGCTGTTTCAAACACATCTTGGTAATACATTACTGATTACTGTGATACTTGCTGTTCAAAAAGTTATCCCTTATGTCCAATAAATTCAGCACAAGAGAAAACTTTTTTACTAGTCCATAACTATACATTACTGGGGCAGCTAGGTGGTGAAGTGGATAGAGCATTGGGCTTGAGTTCATATCTGGCCTCAAAACCCTACTAAATGTGTGATCCTGGGCAAGTTACTTAACCCTCTTTGCCTCAGTTCCTCATCTGTAAAATGGCGAACAATTCCAGTATTTTCCCACAAAAATCCCAAATGCGGTCATGAAGAGTGGGACATGACTAAAATGACTGACCCGCAGAAATAAATTTCCTAAACAATTCAAGAATCAAACTGGTTTTTACATACAAAAAAGTTCAGAATGTGTTGTGGGTGATGTAACTTACTTGTAATATTGCTTCTGCAATGCACTCATTTCCATTCTTAAAATTTGCTCAACTTTGGCAGGCAGAGATTTTTCTACATCTTTCTTAACTCGGCGTAACAGAAAAGGCTCAAGCTCCTTGTGGAGACTTGCATACCCATATTCTCTCCCTTTGCCATGTTCCTCTTCAAAATCTTCCCAGGAAGAAAATCTTAAAAATATGATTAGACTCATTATTGAAGGAAACAGAAACTTTGGTTTAAAGTAAGTCATTAAAAATATAGTTTTTACAAAAGTAATAGACATAAATGAATATAACAACATATCTCAAACTTTGAATTCTCTACTACTCTGGAAAATTCCTCCCACCCCAAAGAAATCCAATATGGAATACCTTGTGAGTCAAGGTGAATTTAAATTATTAATTAATTTCAGGAAGTCTCTTTTTTTTTTTTTTAAAAGAAATATATCTGAATGTTGCATTCACTGCAAAAACTTTAAAAGTATTTTCATTATTTTGAGACTTTAGTTAGTGTTTAATCACTAACTTAAAATACTTCCCTTTACATGCTTCTCACAGAAATAAGTTCTGGGGCCATAACATTAAGTACTACAATTAAGTGTAAACCTTTTTCCCTTTTATATTGCACATAGGAAAAAAAAATTAACATACAGAATGAAATTTCATTCTCATGGTTGGCTTACTTTTCTGGCATGATGAAGTGGAGCAAAGACCAGAGCTCTTTAAGGGAATTTTGTAGAGGGGTTCCAGTAATAAGAAGACGATGATTGGATTTAAAGTCTATTAAGGTCTTATATAAAAGTGAGTCGTCATTCTTTAATCGATGAGCTTCATCTACACCTATGAATGCCCAATTCAGGCCACCAAGGAAAGCCTTAAATATGAAGTTGCATATTTTAGTTACAAGGTGTCAACTTAAACTTTTAAATACAAAATACAAATTTAATTTTGCTAAGTACGTTCCCAGAATTTACAACTAAGGCAGAATAACATGATTATGAAGAAGTATAAAGTTAATTAAATATTAACTACACCAGACATTTTCTACAGACTAGTGACCACAGGATCATCTTAGATCAATAACTAGAAGGGATCTTATAGGCCATGTGGTCTAATACTCTCCTTTTACATATGAGGAAAACTGAGATTCAGGTAAATTAAGTGATTTGTCTGAAATAGCACAGGTAGTAATAGCAGGCAGTGAAACCAGGATTCTAACCAGCATCCTCTGAGTCCAGAACCTATGCTATTTTCACCGTACCATGCTAATTCCTTGGGTAAGTTATATTTCTACTAGTAGGTAGTAACTTAGTAGGTATAAGCTAGGGAATATTAACCAAGGTCTACACACAGGGGTACATCAGACTATGCTGTTTTTCTACCCTTTTTCTTATCTGTATGGTTATGGGGGTTATAGGAATATTTATTCTCAAACTTTTCCCCAACCACGAATAACCATCACCACCATTAACAAACTAGCAGTTTTATAGCACTTTAAGGTTTCTAAAGCACTTTACATGTATCATCTGTTTCATCTGATCCTCACAACAAATCTATAGGCAGGTGCTATTATTATCTCTATTTTACAGATGAAGAAAATGACAGCATGAAATAAAATCTCCATTAGATGATTTGCCTAGGGTCATACCATTAGTGTTGAAGGTGGTATCTGAATTCAGGTCTTCCTCACTTGGAGTCAGGCATTCTATCCACTATGTAACCTAATTGCTTTTAATTTTTTCCCCCTCATCTTTACTGGCGGTATTTTTGTCATAATGAGGTTTTTCCCTTTCTTTTTTGGGGGCGGGGTGAACAACAAACAGTGCTTTTTAATGTTCCTGTACCCTCACTGTCTCTATAGCACTGTTAATAATGAAAACAGATCAATGGCAAAATATGTAGAATGAAAGGACTGAACTGGAAAAAGAAGTAATTTCAAATCCTGCCTCAGATATGTAATAGCTGTGTGTCTCTGGGAAAGTTGGCTAATATCTATGAGCTTCAGTTTCATCATCTGTAAAATGAAACTCAATTTGATGGCCTTTAAGGTCTCTTCCAGGTTTACATCTCTGACTTTATTAAGTAATTTCAGCTTCCTTTACTGGGTTCTAACAACATTCACTGATCTTGAGTTTCACCTCTGGCTCATTCTCTGTTCGAGATTTTAAGTCAACACAGAAATGGACTAGACACAAACAACAGGAAAAAAAAAGAATAAAGCAAAGTAGTAGTGGCAGGCTATGCTTTATTCTCTTATGTTTTTATGAGTACAGGCTTAACATTAGAAGGACCAGAAATTAATAATGCCTTGAAAGACCAAGTTATGTCAGTTGATACAGTGCATTAAAAAAAAAATGCACAAGTCAAAGAAAACAGATAATACGATGAAAATTTTTGTTTCAAAGTATTTTTTTTGTCATTTGATATATGTGGTGCTTCTAGTATTAATCAGAGAAGAACTGATATAGCCTAACTACTCAAATCTGCTAGCCCATTCCTCTCACAAACTAATCAGCAGAGTTATTTAATCAAGCTGAAGACATGGTAACAATAAGAAGAGGGGTTTTTTAAGTGTCTTTTTTGTTTGTAAAGACCTGTGATTTCATCAAGATGGGGAACTTATGATGCAGAAACTCAATGCAAATCAGCAAGTCATGAGTAATTAAAATCTTAAGATGTTACCACTGACACTAAGAAGTCCAAATGACTTGCACATCACCACAAAAAAGTAGGTATCACTTAAAACCTGGTTTTCCTGATTGTAAAGCCCTATATCCATTATACCACTTCTCAAAAACAACCTAACAATAATAATTATAAACTCAAGAGTATATTCCTGACAAAAACTCTATGACGTAGGTGGTAAACATTTTATCCCCATTTTACAAATGAGGATACTGACATCTGGAGATACACTGACTTACTCATAAACATAAAATTAGTAAAAATAGCAGAGCCAAGATCAGAACTAGATCTTTTCCCAAGTCCTACAATGTTTCCATTGGAATATAATTTCATACCTAGAAGGTGGTCTAGAAAGCATTTAAGTCCTCTCATTTTATAGCTAAAGATATTAAAGTATTCAAATTTTTTCTTGAGGTATTTAAATCATACTGACACAGTAAAAATTAAAGTAGCCACCCAAAAGCAAAAAACAAAACAAAACAAAAATTAAAGTAGCCATCAACAAATTTCATGAGCTTACAAATACATTGTATCATGGACACCATAAGAAATAATGTTAATAGAAATGGTTCCTAACATCTTGCCAACATGTATGACCTTATAAAATATAAACAACATACTTAGAAAAGGACCTATTTAATTACCAGTCATTACATACCTTATCTTTCAATAAAATTTCATAAGTTGTCAAAAGAATATTAAATTTTAACCGTTTGGTTTGAAGATGCATCCATTCATGTGTTCTTATCTACCAAGCAAACAAACCACAAAATGGTCTCAAACAAAATATACTAAATAGCAACAAATTTTAAAAATTACTCATTTCAAATGAGATATGCCTTATTATGGTTATGCTGAACAACTTACCATATTTCTGCTGTTAATATCCCCTAAATAGACTACAGCATTCATCTGGGGAGCCCATGTCTGAATCTCTCTTTGCCAGGAAGTGAGTGTGGAAAGTGGTACTACTAACAAGAAAGGCCCATACAATTGGTGTTCGTGGAAAAGATAGTTAAGAAATGAGATCGTCTGTATTGTTTTTCCAAGGCCCATTTCATCAGCAAGTATACAGCTATTTCCTCTACAAAATACAAGAAAAGAAGTGTTTTCCCATATATCAAACACTTATTTAACAAACATTTATTCAATACCCATTATATACAAGACACTGTGGTAGGTGCTGAAAGCAATATAAAAATATCATGGTCCCTTCCAAGAGCTCCCTATAAAAGGAAGACAGACAAAAACATTGAATGATGAACCAGAAATGACAAAATAGGAGGAAAACAGGAGAAAAGAAGAAAAAGGGAAAAGAGAGGGACAAGGAGTGAAAGTGTTCTTTATCATTTCTCATCCTGGATGCCAAATAATTGAGATTTCTGACATAAAAGGGCATACATCTGATTTAGAACACTTAGCAGCCTTCTTTTCAAGGATGAACTCTACAAAGGAAAGCTTCTTTTAATCATAAGAGAAAGTATAGGCATGAAAACTGCCTATACTTATTAAATAAAAGTTAAAAGGGAGACTTACTCCATCAACTAATCATTACTAAAACAGAAGGATCAGAAAAGATTAACTAACTTATCTGGCTTTCAGAGTTGTTTCAGAGACAAGCGACAGTAGAATATCAAGGAAGTAGAAGAAATGAGTATGTTACAATGACAGAAGAAAGAGATAAGGAATCATGGGTTCTGAGCCATTGCTTCTAAACAATTAATCAGATTCTTATAAAACTGAAGCCAAGTTATTCAAGGAAAACTAAAAGTGACATACTAGACCAAAGAGAGTAAGATGTCTGTTTGAGTTATATGTATGTAAAGTTTGCTTTTTAAAATGGAGAAGTAACTTTGCAATAGTTAATAGAGAGCTAGACTCTGAGTAAGAGAGATGGGGTTCAAGTCCTGCCCATACATACAGTGTCTAGGGGGCCCTCACTCAACAATTCACTTAATCTTTCAAGGCTCTAGGTGACTCTTGAAGACTTTAAGTTGCAGAACAGCTGCTGATGTGCAGTTGTATGGTTTCCTCATTAGAGTTTACAATTCTGATGAAATTGGAGGCTCAGCCCAAAAAAATGCTTATAATGGATTAAATTTAATATTGGTGCACTGGGATAGCAACATTCTTCTTAATCATCAATATGCCCAAATTGGTCTCCCACCTTGTAAACACAAAGTGATCCTGATCTCCTCATCTTCATAGCGCACAGAATTAGACATGAGGAAGTAAGCTAACCCATACCTGACAACTGATTAAACTAAGATCTAGGTAGGCTAAGGGGCTTGCCCAAGATCAAGCAGGTAAGAAGAGCCATGAACTAGATTGAGGTCCTTTGACTCCAAATATAGACTCTTCACTTCAACACTCTGATATCAAACAGTTCCTTAAACTACCTGAATGGGAAGAGGGAGGAGTCTGACAGCTAGCTTTATAAAAAGCAATAGTAAATTTACATGAGTATTATCATGGCAAACCAAAACGTGTTATCTCTGTCCAAAAAAAAAAAAAAGGTTGGAATATATTGCTCTAGATCAGAGCTCTCCAAAGTCCAAAGTGGAGTGCATTACGGGGTAGGTAGACAACAAAAAAGTCCATAAAGAGACAACCAACCAAGCATTTATTAAGAGCTTACAATGTGCCAGGCAATGCACTAAAGACAAAAAGAAAGGCAATTATTGCCTTTAAGGAGTTTCCATTCTAACAGAGGAGTTATCACCTAAATAACAACGCAAGTAAAGACAGAATAGTAACAACGCCTAACATTTATACAGGGCTTTAAGATTTGTACAGTCCTTTACATGTATTATCTCATTTGATCCAACAACAGGGTAAATGGAGGGGTAACCTCTGAGGGGAAAGCACTAGATGCTTATGGTAAAAGGACTCAAGTAGGAGGTAGGATTTCAGCTGTATTTTAAGGAAGCCAAAAATTCTAAGAAGCAGAGATTAAGAAGAAAAATTTCCAGACTTGAGGGTGGGAGTGGAGTGGGAAACAACCTGTGCAAAGGCACCAAGATGTGACAAACAACAAGTAGGCCTACTATGGCTGAATCATAGACAGTGTAGAAAGGCATACAGTGTAAGAAGACTGGAAAGGTAGGATGGGAAAGGTTTATGAAGATCATTAAGTGCCCAAAAGAGAAACTTATATTTGATCTTGGGTAGACAGGGAGCCACTGTAGTTCAATGATTGAAGGGAACATGATTAGACCTGCACTTTTGGAAAACTACTTTGGCATGATTGGGGTGGGGAGATACTTTTAGTAAAGAAGTACAATTAAAAAACAGTTGCAATAATCCAGGCAAGAAGTTGAGGATGACACTAAGGTTGCAGACACTGAAGGATGGTGGTACCCTTGACTGTAATAAGGAGATGTGGAAGATGGGACAGTTTCAATGAACATAGGGAGTTTGAGACAACTATGAGACACTGAGTTTGAGAGATCCAAAAGGTAGCTGGGTGATGTGGACCTACAGTTCAGGAGAAACTAAGGGTGGATATATGGATCCGGGAATCATCTATAACAGTAGTTCTCAAACTTTTTGGTCTCAGGACTCCTTTTCCCCTCTTAAAAATTATTATAGACCCCAAAGAGCTTTTGTTTATGTGGGTTATTAGCTACTGACATTACCATATAAAAATTAAAACTGATAAGTTTTAAATGTATTTTAAAAATATAATAAATAACATTTAAAAATTCAAAATGACTATATTTTCCAAAACAAAAAAAAAGTTTTTAGTTGTAAAGTGGAGGAACAGATAATCAAGTCGAGTAGATTGAGGAACTGGGATGCTAGGATGCATGAGGGAATATCAACTCGTATGCTTTAGTCATCCCATAGGTAAGGTGAACTTGAGGTGTAGAGAGAGTCTGAGGGTTTATTAGTATGGCAATGGAACACTTGTGAGTAATGATAAGATCTATGGTAGTATTATTTCTGCTTGTACTTGAGGAGGAGGGGAAGGACAGGTCATGGCAATGCAGGAAGAAACTATTAGAACTTCTATCTATATTTATTTTTTAACCCAAGAACAAATTAAGCTGCACTAATATTTAATATGCAGTGTGACACTGGTGCCCTCACAAAGTACTTCAGACAGACATGTATCCTAGGAAGTATCCAGAGGGAAGCACTGGAAGTTCTACAAGGTGGAGGAGATGATAGAGGCACTTTTTACATGTTCATTTGCTTTCACTGCATTATAATATATTAAGTTGACATGAATCTGCTTAAGTAGATTTATGGATTACACTTTCTAACACAAACTAAATTAACTCTTTTAAAAATTATTAAAGCATAAAGTGGCCTAAAAATTTCCTACAATGAAAGCATAGATTAAATGCTACCACAAATGAAATGGGAAAATGGTAGAGCTGAAACTCTTTACTTATTTGTAGTATGAATTCTGTGTCACATATTACAAAGTAAAAAGTCAGCCAAAAAAAGTGAAATTATCAAGATTATTTGAAATATTAATATTTGAGTATATGCTACCCTCACTAGAAATACTGATTTTTTTTTGTTACAGCAAAAAGGACTTTTATACCATTTCTAAATAATTTAAAATATGCCTTGTTTCATCTTTCTATCATACTTTTAAATGTCCAGTTTTTTCTGAATTACACTGAACATATTAGTACAATAGGCCATGTATATAATTTATGAACAAATAAATATACATATAATAGAGGAGTGCTCAAAAATATTTTACCGGTAAGGTAAGTGATCAAAAAAGTTTGGAAACCACTGTTCTAGCTTAACTCTGCTCTATATAACCTGTAGTATAAGAAAATAAGTTTTCATTTAAGTGTTATAATATTTTAACTTTAAAAAAAATTCTGAGCATAAAGGGCTATAGAAGGAAATCCTTATTTTGATTTAATGAAAAATAAGTTTTTGATCTGCATAAGCACATAAACATATAAAGCATACAAAACTGAAGTATTTTCATAGCTCCTTTAAATAACTATTAGTCAATTTTGAAAAACGCAAATGACTATCAGAAGGAAAAATGGGAAAAGAAAAGAGATATGGCTGAATTCAAGCATGAGGGTAAGAATTAGATAAGAAAGACAATGGCAACTGAAGAATAATTTAAAAAAGGGTGAGTGTTGGAGGACTGGTGTAGAAAACTCAGAATGGATCAGGGTTGAAGATATGGTAACTAGATGATAATCAGTTACCTATTAAAGAGAAAAATCAGAGAAGAGTTTAGAAAAAGTAGGAAAGATACAGAGCACCTTGAATTAGGCTGCAAACTGGAGGTGCAATTAGTGGAACTGAGGGAAGTAGTAGTGTAAGTATGAAACGGGTCCCAGGAATGTAAAGACCCAAAGAGGCAAACTCCAGTTCAAAGAAATCTTTTACTTCCAAGTCTATTACCACTTAAAATTACTTGAAAAATAATTGCTGAAAAGTAATTTCTAAAGAACACAGCAGGAACATTATGGGGCAATATCTGAGATAATATTTGTAAAGAGCTTAGCACAGTGCCTGGCACATAAAAGGCACTTAATAAATGCTTGTTCCCTTTCTACAATTTGTTCCCTTCCAATAAGGGCTTACAGTTATTCCACTGTTTACTGTTAAAAGTAAATCTTTTGGAAATCATATTTATATCTGTTGTAAATTCAAAATGTCCTCTATGAATCTGAAAAAGAATATTCATAACATACTCACTTGCACCAAGAATGAGCAAGCCAATTTAGACCATTCAACTGATAATCTCTTAATTCTAAACCTTCTGGTCCCCCAATATAGGATGGTTGCTTCTTCAGTGCAACAAACCTTGGCCTTTGTTTTAATACCTTGGGAGAAATAAGGATTAGTATACAGAACTACTAAACATAAGAATCAATACTTAGGTACACTGATAATAATCTTGGATATCACCATAAATTTCCAAACTAGCCTATTAATGTCAGTCATCACAGACAAAACTTTAATGATTGATTCCATGATTGCAAAAAATAGTTGATACTAGTCAAAAAAGACTTTATTTAGTCCAAGAGGTAAAAATGAAAGGTAGAAGAATAGAGTACACTGTCTTTCTTGACAAATAACACAACAGTTAATGAAATGTTTGAAATTCCCCTTGATATTATCACACATTAAGTAGCTAAAAATCACAAGCAATAGCAATGCCAAGTTTAGCAATATATATGAACTGTCATTGACCTGATTAAAAACAAATCAAAACAAAATAAAGACAAAAATAGCAAGACAAATTTGAAAGAATAGTCATTGCCACTTAAATCTTGGCTTTTCTATTTAACTTGCCAGTTAAGAATTATAATTATTATTTGATTACACTTTCAATAAGAACTGAAATTAAGCTCTCAGTCCCATAGGACAACAAAGAAAACAATAATATGTGGGCCACTGAATGACAATAAAGAAACAAATAAAATAAAATAAACTGTCAGTATATATGCTCAATGAAGAAATTCTTGTCTTGCACAGGATTTTTTTACTGTCTCCCTCATCAATTTTTTCACTCAACTTATTCCCTCTTTTCTCATAGCAAATAACCCATTATTTTGTAAGTCAATACCCTTTTATTTACATCAATCAACATATGGAGCATACATTTACATTTTGAACCTGATTTGAAAAAAGTTATGTAGCTTATAACACGTTTAGTTCTTGTATATATTTCCACCTTGTTTCTTTACCCTTTTAAACAGGTCTCATTTTTTGAGGTGTGACATATGTTCAGATAAATGGTATTTTTATTTCTTATGCCATCAGTTTTGTCTGCCATTCCTGAATGGTCCAACTTCCTCCAACCACACACTCACCACATCTAACTCTACTCATCTGTTCTACCTAGAACTGTAAGATCCCTTATTTGCATTAGCAACCTGCAGAACTATCAAGCCACAAATATACTCAAGTTGCACTCTAAAACCTGGGTTAATCAACCAGCAAAACCTTTTTATTACTGTTTCCAGGTTCTGGGCCTCAGAAATGTAATTATAATTATTACTTAAGTCTATTAGAAAATTTCAATTTATACTTACTTTGCAATCTTTAAAAGGAGTGGTTTTGGATTGATTCCTGCTGAAATATTCATCGATGCGTGGCTGAAACTTTTTGGAAATAAGAGCCCCATCTTCCCAGCTACACTCTGAATATGGGAGGCCCTGCCATTTGCAATAATAATCAGGATACCCAGCTGCTGACTTTTGATTGGAATGAGCTGTGAAATATAGACACTATGTTACTTTTTGTATTTGTTTCCTCTTAGCAGAACCATAAATCAAAAATATAATTATTTATGGAGATGACAACTTCTCACTGAAAATTAGCAAAGCATAAAAAGGAGACGTGAAAATGTAATGAAAATGATATGATTACTGACCGATTATTCTCTCCACTATTTGATACTGCTTATGTAGATCATCAGTAAGTTCTTGCTGACAATTATAATACTCCACATCTTCTGGAGAAGCATTTTTCAACCTAAGAAACAAATAATATTTCACATTTCATTTGGCAGTTTAATAATTTTTCTTCTTAGTTAATTCTTAAGACATGCTATATTAGGAATAAGAAATGGCACAGAAAAAGCTGGGAAGAGCAGCAAGACTAAACAAAATATAAACAGGTTAATGAAGGAGGCAGTACAATTTTCAAGGCTTTCTCAAGATATTTGAAGGGGGGGATACTGAAAGCACGACAAAAATGTGAAAATTTATAATTTTTCTTAAAAAGGAAACTTGGCAAAGATGGCAGAGTAGAAAAAGGACTTAGCCAAGCTCTCCCAACATTCCCCTAGAAATAACTTTAAAATAATGCCTTAAATTGAAGTCTAGAATGGCAGTGCAAGCAAAAGATCTGAGTGAGACATCCTTTTAGACCAAGACAACGTAAGAAGCTGGAAAGAGAGCTCTGTGAAACAAAAGAGATGGTTGGCCTAGAGCCCATGTGAATGAAACATCCAGTGGTGGGACTAGGTGGTAGTGATAGCAGCAGCAGCAGCAGCTTTGGGAGATCTCAAGCCAGAGATGATAAGGAAACCTGGCAACTGGTCAGAGTCACTACAGGATGCCTCTGTGCTGGAGGTGGACGCAGGACAAAATGCTGTTTGGCAAACTCAATGCCTAAACCCTCTTCTAGGTCATAAGAGTTCAAGGGCAGTGAAGAGCACTTTCAGTCAAGAGCAGGTGGCTGCCCTGAGGGGCAACTGTGTGCCAACTCTATTGTTTCCATCCACTGGCTAAGACATAGTTCAAAGGTGGAAAGGAGCACTTTTTTTTCAAGGGAGTAGAGATCCTGAGGGCCAATAATACTTCTAGAAACAAGGGACATGGGCCCTGAGGAGCAGTATCAATTGCCATACTAAGTAATCAAGACACATTCCTGGATAAGGACCATAGTGCAGACCAATAGTGTAGTAACCACACCTCTCCCCAGATTACACTACTTTGGAAGCAAGGAAAACCTGGAAACCCCTAGAGTTAGCACCGAAAATTATAGTGTGGAAAAAGCCTAAAGCTTAAGGAGTCTCTCTCCCTGCCTTTCCACACCTGGAATAGAGTCCAGAATTAGTATAAAGTTGCAAATCAAGAAATAGGGGATAAAAAAAATAAGCAAACAACAAAAAAAAGAACCTGACCATAAAGAGCTACTATGGTGACAGGGAAGATCAAGACACCAATTCAGAAGACAATGAAGTCAAAACAGCTATAAGCAAAGAAGCCTCCAAGAGGAAAAACAAAACAAAACTGAATTGAACACACACACACACACACACACACACACACACACACACACACACACACACACACACACACACTTCAAAATCAGAAAAGAGTAACAAAGGAAAAATTAGTAAAAATTAGGTAAAGAAATGAAACAAAGGAAGAAAATTAAGAGAAATGGGAGGGATGATAAAAAAGAGGGCAGATAAAAGATGGCAATGGTTATAAGCAAAGCAGACTCTAGAGGACGGACCGGATAAAAAGAGAATAATAAAAAGAAGAAAATTAGATGAGGGAAATACAGTTAGTAATCATAACTATGAATGTGAATAGGAAGAATTTACCCATAAGATGGAAACAGACTGCAGAACAGATTGAAAAGAAAAATCCAACAATATTTTGTTATTATTATTACTTTTTGCTTTTTGGTGAGGCAATCGGGGTAAAGTGACTTGCCCAGGGTCACACAGCTAGTAAGTGTCAAGTGTCTGAGGCTGGATTTGAACTCAGGTCCTCTTGACTCCAAAGCTGGAGCACTATCCACTGTGCCACCTTGCGGCCCCAACACTTTGTTTTATAAGAAACACACTTCAAAAGCCACAGGCAGAGTAAAAATAATGGACTGGAGCAAAATCTATTATGCTTCAGCTGAAGTAAAAAAAAGTAGGGATAACAATCATGATCTCAGATAAAGCAAAAGCAAAAATAGACTTAATTAAAAGAAATAAATAGGCAAACTACATCTTACTATAGACAATGAAGTAATACCAATACTAAACATATATACACCAAATGACATAGAATCCAGATTCTTAGACAAGAGCAAATAGATAATGAAACTATACTAGCAGAGGACCTCAATTTTTCCCTCTCAGACATAGATAAATCTAAAATAAAATAAATAAGAAGTCAAGGAGATGAACTGAATCTTAGAAAAGTCAGATATGATAAACATCTAGAGAAAGCTGAGTGGGAACAGAAAGGAAGATACCTTTTTCTCAGCTGTACATGGCACCTTCACAAAAAACTGACTTTGTATTAGGGCATAAAAACCTTACAACTAAATGCAGAAAAGAAATATTGAATGTATCTTTTTCAGATCGTAATACAATAAAATTAAATTCCATATAAGGCTGTGGAAACACAGATTAAAAATAACTGGGAACTAAATAATCTAATCCCAAGGCATGAGTAGAAAAAACAACATATCAGAAAAACAAGCAATAATTTAATTAATGAGAATGACAATAAGACAACATTCTAAAATTTTTGGGATGCAAAGCAGTACTTAGGATAAAATTTATATCTGTAAATGCAGACATCAATAAAAGAGAGAAAGAGCAGATCAATGAACTGGCCATATAATTAAAAAGAACTGGAAAAAGAACAAAATAAAAATGGAAATCCTGAAAATCAAATAAAAGATTAATAAAATTAAAAGTAAAAAACCCCAACAAACTTTGAACTATTAAAGAAAACAGGAGCTAGTTTCCATTAAAAAAAAAATAATAAAATAGATAAACCATTGCTTAATTTGATTACAAAAAAAAAACCAATTACCAGTATCAAAAATGAAAAGAGTAAATGCAATGCCAATGAAGATGAAACTAAAGCAATTACTAGGAGTTATTTTGCCCTATTATATGCCAGCAAAACTAACAAACTATGTGAAATGGATGGGTATTAACAAAAATATAAACTGCCCAGATTAAAAGAAGGGGAAATAGAAGATTTAAATAACATTATCTTAGAAAAAGAAATTGAACAACCCATCAATGAACTCCCTAAAAAAAAAAAAATCCCTAGGACCAGACAGATTCACATGTGAATTTTACCAAACATTTAACACACAACTAATCCCAATGCCATATAAATTACTCTAAAAAATAGCTAAAGAAAGAGTCTTACAAAATTCTTTTACATAGCTTTGGGACCAAAACCTGGAAAAGCAAAAACAGAGAAAGAAAATTATAGACCAATTTCCTTAGTGAAAATCAATTCAAAAAATTTTTTGAAATACCACCATGGAGATTACAGCAATATATCACAAAGATCATACACTATGACCAGGTGGGATTTATACCAGGAATGCAGTGCTGGTTGAATATTAGGAAAACTATCTGCATAACTGACCATATGAAAAAACAAAACCATCAAAAATCATATGACTATCTCAACAGACACAGAAAAGGCTTTCGACAAAATATATTCATGCTTATTAAAAACACTAGAAAGCATACAAATAAACAGAGCTTTCTTTAAAATATTAAGTAGTATCCATCTAAAACCATCAGCAAGCATTATCTGTAATGTAGATAAGCTGAAAGCCTTTCCAATAAGATCAGAAATAAAACTTATTTCAAAAAAGAATTTGAAGGAATTAGAATGGGCAACGAGGAAACAAAACTATCACTCTTTGCAGATGCTATGATAGTATAATTAGAGAACCCTAAAGAATAAACTAAAAACACTAGTTGAAACAATTAACAATTTCAGCAAAGTTGCAGGTTATAAAGTTAACTCTGATAAATCAGCATTTCTATGTATTACCAACAAAGTCCAGCAGGAAGATATTGAAAGAGAAACCATACTTACAACAACTGCAAACAACATAAAGTACTTGAGAGTCTGCCTGCCAAGCCAAACCTAGGCACTACACGAACACAATTACAAAACACTTATCACACTAATAAAGATAGATCTAAACAACTGGAGAAATACTGATCATGGGTAGGCTAAGCTAAGATAATAAAAATAGCAATTCTACCTAAATTAGTTTACTTATAATTCAGTGCCATATCAATCAAAATTTTTGTAGAGCTAGAAAACAATAACAAAAATCACCTGGAAGAACAAAAGGTCAAGAATATCAAGGGAATCAATGAAAAAAAAAGCCAAAGAAAACAAACAAACAAAAAAACCCTAAAGGAAGGTAGCTTAGCAGTAACACATCTCAAATTGTATTACAAAGCAGTAATCATTCAAAACAATGTGGAGCTGGCTAAGAAATAGAGTGATGGATCAGTGGAATAGATACATTATACATAGTAGTAAATGGCCATAGTAATCTAGTGTTTGACAAACCCAAAGATTCAATATTTGGGGACAAGAAATCACTATTTGACAAAAACTGCTGGGAGAACTAGAAAGCAGTTAGGCAGAAAGTAAATACAGACCAACATCTCATGCCATATACTGAAACAAGGCAAAAATGGTAAGTGATTTAGACATAAAAGGTGTATCATAAGCAAATTAGGGGAGCATGAAATATTTTGTCAGATTTATAAATAAGGGAAGAACCGAGAACCAAATAAGAGATAGACAGCATTACAAGACATAAAAATGAATAATTTTGATTACATCAAATTAAAAAGGTTTTGCACAAACAAAGCCAATGCAACCAAGAGTATAAGGAAAGCAGAAAACTGGGGGAGAGGGGGAGAGAGAATTTTACAGCAAGACCTCATTTTTCAAATACATAAAGAACTGAGTAAACGATTCCCCTATTGATTAATGATCAAAGGATATGAATAGGCAGTTTTCAGAAGAAGAAATCAAAGTTACCTACGATCATCTTAAAAATGTCCTAAATCACTACTAATTAAAGAAATGCCCATTAAAGCAAGTCTGAAGTACTACCAAATACGTAACAGATTGGCTAACATGATAGAAAAGGAAAATGACATGCTCAAAGGAATGTAGGAAAACTGGGACACCAATGCACTGTTGTGCATTGTGAAGTGTGATCCAACCATTCTG